TTTGTACACTATTCTTCAATTCATGGTAAGCAAAGATTTAATTTTGTAACTCCATACTTTAGAATTCACTTAAATCTCATATTGTTGTTATTTAGTGGCTAAATCCTATGGACCATAACCCACCACGCTCCTCTGTCCCTGAGATTCTCCAGGCAAGAATTCTGGAGTTGGTTGCCATTTCCTTCTCTTGGATCAGGGGATCTTCCTGACCCAGGGTTTGAACCTACATCTCTTGCATTGGCAGGCAGATTCTTTACCACTGAGCCACCATGGAAGCCTGAATCTTATATTAGTCTGTCATTAAAGAGGGAAATTAACTTAACTTGTATCTAGATTGACTCAGTATCCTTTGCTTTCCTGTCATTCCACTACAGTTGTTCCAGGAACCTTCCTGGATACCAAAATCTGCAAATGACTAAGTCTCTTACAGAAAATGGCTTAGTACACTGGGTCCTTAGTATCCATGGATGTTTAATCAGCGAACTGACTGTAATGGAAACATTTATTACAGAGAACAAGAGAGGCAACAAAAGGCAGGCTGGTGTGGCAAGGGTACAGACTTCCACCCTTACCTTTGCTGCCAACTACATGAAAGGTCTTGCAGAAGTATCTTTAATCTCTGTGACACTCAGCTTTTTCGTATGTAAATAGGATAAGTATGCTTGCTGTAACAACTTTCCAAGGTTTCACTGAAAATCTAATTGAGTGAAAAGTACTTTGAAACCCATAAAATGCAATATGAAAACATAATATATAAATACAAATATAAAAATATAAAATAGGCTCTGTTACAATCCATGAATAGAATTCTCAGTGAAATAATTTTTCTGTTGTACTTGGAAAGCTTCAAAGTGCTTCATTTTGCAACAGAATATATATATTTTTTATAGTAAGGATAGGAAAACATTTATCCCATAGATGCTTTTGGAAGGTATCAATTATTACATATTAGGTTTTCACTAACAATTTATTAGATATTACTAACAATGCTTAGACTCATCATGCTAGTATTAAACAGAGACCAAAATCATCTTTCATTAGTTATATTAATTTAAATAGCATTTTAGTAATCTGAAAAAATTATAACATTTGTAATAGAGGAATACTAAGAATTTCATAGTATTCACAGAAAGATCCTCTGGAGAGGGAAATGGCAACACACTCCAGTACTCTTGCCTGGAAAATTCCATGGACGGAGGAGTCTGGTAGGTTACAGTCCATGGGGTTGCAAAGAGTCAGACACAACATGAGCGACTTCACTTTCTTTTCTCTTTTTCATAGTATTCAAGGTACATTATTTCTTTCAGCCAAATTTCATCTTATTTTTCTGTTACAGTTTAGACAGCACAGTAGAAATTAAGTCTACTTATAAGATGAATCCTACTTTGCAAGGCAGCACTTCATTTTAGTGTTTAGATTTGGATATTGTCACAATATTTTTTTTGTTTTAATAAAATTTAACAGCTTGATAGTAAGTAGAGTTATATTTAATTGTGTTTTATCTTGGGCAGGTGAATTACATTCCTTTTTTTCAAAGAAACAGTATTTCAGTTAATAAACCTGTTAAAAGTGTGAAATTCAAACAGTCTTAATGTCTTTATGACTTTTAACCACATTAAAAGTCTGTAAGGAAATACAATTTATACAAGAAAATGCTCACAATGTTTTATTTTTATAATTATATTTCCTGGCACCTTAAAAATTTTATCATTTCAAGCATGCTGTGAATTTAATAACCATCTTCTACCAAAGCAAACACTACTGTAATTCTTTTTCAAGTTAAGATACATTTTGTTAACCTAATAAACACTATAAGAATGGCAATGATTCAATTGTGCACTCCCAAACTGAAAAATAATTATTTTTAATTAACAAAGGATATAAATATGAGGCAGAGAAGCATAAAATTATTTTTTATAATTGCAAAGCCATTCACACCTGCAAAGATAACTTCATGCTGATTTCTTTAAGGCAGCTCATGTCTCAGCATCATCCACTTCCTAGTACTCATGGATTCACACTGCTCCCAATATTGTCTCACTTTCGAATGCTACCTTGGTACTAACAGAAAAAATTTGGAGAACAATTTCCCTGTATTGATGACGGCAGCCCTTCCCATCCTTTTTCACTTCTATAGAAATTCCTCAACCAGTTATGTTATCTTAGTGCAGAAAGCAGTGAATGCCTTTCATCGTTGTGCATCAGAATCTCCTAGAGGGTCTTTTAAAGATGCTTTTGCCAAGGCCAAATCCTGTTCTGATCCATAATGTTTAGGCATGGATTTGGGAATGTGAATTTTCATTACATGTGGTATTAGTATGCTAGGGTTGCCATAATAAAATACCACAGACTGGGTGGCTTAAATAACAGCAATGTATTTTCTGTCAGTTCTGGAAGTTAGAAGCCCAAGACTGAGATGTCAGCAGGGTTGGTTCCTCCTGAGGCCTCTTAACTTGCAGGCACCTGCCTTCTGGCTGTGTCCCCATATGGTTTTTCCTCTGTGTGCACACACCCCTGGTGTGTCTATGTGTATCCAAATTTCTTCCTTTCATAAGGATACCATTCAGACTGGATTAGGTCACACTCTAAAGGTTTCATTTGAACACATTATTGCCTGGGGGAATTTTTGCAGAAACTAACCTCTGTGGCCAGCAGTTTGTTATGTAAGTGAATACTGAAACACGCCAGTCAAAAACGTTTTTCTTACAGAAGACATAATACGACTCTGGTCAATCAGTAGTTAACTTAGTCACCTCTTTTAAGGTCCTATGTCCAAATACAGTCAGATTCTGAGATACTAGAAATTAGGGCATGAATTTGGGGGCAACACAGGTCAGCTCCTAATGTATGCCCCAGTGTTCCAGACACAGGTAACTCACGGTTCATACCTAAGCAAACACCAATTTAGGCTGTAGATCACCTAAATGTGCACACTCACCTCAGTCACTTAGCTTTATGTGACTTACTATGTAACCTCTTTCAGGAGGGTCTTGCTACCTCATTCCTAAAGAAAAGTGTCATTTGGTTTCCATTCTTACTGTCCATCATGCTACATAAAATAGCGTCTCCCGCCCATCCTGTCAATCCCTGTCTCCTCCACTCTTTTCGTCACACTTACCATCACTGACACTCTCCACTAGAATGTAAGCTCCGCTTTGTTTTGCTCACCACTGTACTCTCTCTCCCCACCCCATGGATAGAACAGAGACCCAGGAGGATGAGAGTGTTCTGCAGGTGATCTTGTGTTCCTTCTGTCAAGTAAAAAGCAAGGTCTTCTGCTGAGAAGGAGCTAAGGAGGTGGTACGGCAGGAGGCCTGAGAAAAATTAAGATTTGAAGATCCCTATGGAGAATGGGAGAGCAAGATTAGAGCGAATTTAGGAAGAGCTGGCTAGGCAGGCCTCAGAATTCAGCATATGTGGGGGAGCCCATTTATGTTTCCGATACATTCTATTGTATGATCTCCAGCAGTTCTCACAGCTGCGGAGGAGCAGAGAGGGCAAAATGGTTATTTTGATTTCTCAGTGATTACCATTGCTCCTTGGCATAACATTCAAGGCCCTTCACCGTAAGTTCCTATTTACATTACCTGTTTGCTTCTCAGTTATACCAAGTTTCTTCTTCCTCAAATCCTCCTACATCCTGTCTTTTTTAGTGCTTTCCCTTTGAATTCTCAAACTTTCCCTGGCTAAACTTTTGGTCAGCCTTTAATGATTCAGCTCAAATATTCTATGTTGAAAATGCTCCCCAGTCACCTCAAGTACTAGCCATAGTGCTAAGATCATTCCTCTTTTAGAGCACAGTCTTCAGAATACAGCACTAGTTTCAAGATGCAGTTGTCATTTACTGTGTGATCTTGAGCAAGATATTTAACATTTTTGTCCTTCAGTTTCCTCATCTGTAATATGAACACAATGATAAGCCCCTATTTTAGAGAACTGTTTGAAATGATGAAAAGATATATCAGCAAATGGTGCTATTATTGTAATTATTTGCATGTCTTCCTCTCTTGAAAGTTCTTCAAAAGCAGGAATTGTCATTCACGTTAATTTTTTTAAATTCCTAACATTTGACACAGTGCCCGGCACACTGTAGATGTTCCAGAATTGTGGAATAAATTAATGATCAATGGAATTAAAGAGATAGTTGAAATTGCTACCAAGGTATATACACATTTTTTCTTAAATTAGAATTACAGCAAAGAAAGAGCAAGGCTAGGGAATGCACACAATAAATCGTGCAGGGAAGAGAAGTCAGCATTGGTAAAACAGATTGCTTCTTCAGGTAAATAAGGAACACACAGAAACCACACACTGAGCTAAAACAGACATGGACATTGTGTTCATGTAACTTACAGTCAGATACACTGTCCTGTCACAATAGCCAATACATAACAATGACCACATTTACAGTTTCAGACTTTTTGTCTAACCCTCTCAACAGACTAAACTCTGAGGTCAGTTTCCTATTTACCTTCGAATCTCCACCACCCAGTAGTGTTTAATACACACCAAGAGCTCTATATGGAAAGGTTTAGGAAATTAATGACGTGCCACAGAAAGAAGCGAAACCACCAGTAGGTCCAGTCAAATTAAACACTTAATTACATTTTCAGAGTTACTTTCCACAACACAAGCTGCGAATTCACTCCCGCTAGAGGAGCAAGCTCCTCTTCCCAAGCTCCTGGGATCCTCACCCACAATCGGTTGGGATACACGAGAGAAATGCATGACATAAACAAATTTTCTTTGGATTTCAGCGATTCAACAACCTAGTCTAATAAAGCATCCGCAAGCCTAACTGTATTACGTAACTTAAGCTTCCTCCACTTCTTGAGGTACCACACCCAAACCTATTTAACTAGCTTGGTGCGTGTAGGCGCAAGGCCCCGCCCGCGATTCCAAACTAGCCAATCCAAACTGCCAGAATCAGTAGCGCGGTGTCTTCTGGGATCTGTAGGCTTCCGAGGTTAGACTTTCCCCGGCGGCCGAGCTTATTCCCGGCGGCCATCGGGCTCCAAAGGCCCGCCCTCTTTCTGGGGGCGGACCCCGGAGCAAACCAAGGGGCGTGTTTTCGCCCCACCTCTACGTAGCCCGATACGGTGCTGGGGGTGCCGGCCGGCGGATTCCCACGTGGTGCGGAGATTCGCGGTTGCCGGTTCGCGTCCTTCTTGACTTCCTCGGCCTGTGAGCTCTCTGCCTGCAGAGATGCCGAAGATCAAATCAGCGGCTAGCGGCCGCCGCCGCGAGCGGCAACAACAACGCGGGCAGCTGAAGAGCGCCGGAGGTGGGGACAGCCGCCAGAGAGCTGGGGTCTCTTGGGTTGGGACTTCCGATAGGACCGAGCCGGGGCCAGGGCGGAGTTCTGGCCGGGACAGTGAGACCGGGCGGGGCCCGCGCTCCGGGAGTGCGCGATTCCCGGGTTCCCCGAGCCACGAGCGCAGGCCCCGCGCGCCGCCTCTGACTTTCTTTCGCGGAAGGGGTGGAGTTAAAACAGTCTGTCATCCAGGCTTCTTACCGTGACGTTTGGCGCCCCTAGCTGGCGCGGATAACGTCCCCTAGCTATCCTCCTTCTCTGGGACGGTCTAATGTTTTTAGTTGGGAAATTAAGGCTATTCAATGTTTTATTGCAGGACTTATGTTCAACACGGGGATTGGGCAGCATATTTTGAAAAATCCTCTCATTGTTAACAGCATTATCGATAAGGTAGGTGTGGAAGAGGAGAGGGAGAGAGTTACTGGGTTATTCATTTTGATTTTAGGACTATCTGAGCACAGAAAGGATTCCTGACACAGAATAGATGCTGTGTAAATACTTGTTGAATGAATTCAAGAATTGTGTAGGATTCGCAAGTTCTCTTCAATATGATTTGCTTTATTCTGTGAGTCTCGAGTTCTGACTCCAAATTGTTTTATCTTGCCGTAGATTATTTACTTCTTAGCTTGACACTTCTACTTGTTTAATTCCAGATTCTTCTTCTTCTATTACCAATCACTTTTTCTAGGCAGCATCTATCACTATTAGTTTTTGTTTACTCCAAGCCCTAAAAAAAGTTGGCTTAAAGCTCAACATTCAGAAAACTAAGATCATGGCATCTGGTCCCATCACTTCATGGCAAATAGATGGGGAAACAGTGGAAACAGTGTCAGACTTTATTTTTTTGGGCTCCAAAATCACTGCAGATGGTGATTGCAGCCATGAAATTAAAAGACGCTTACTATCCTAGGAAGAAAAGTTATGACCAACCTAGACAGCATATTGAAAAGGAGAGACATTATTTTGCCAACAAAGGTCCGTCTAGTCAAGGCTATGGTTTTTCCAGTGGTCATGTATGGATGTGAGAGTTTGGACTGTAAAAAAAGCTAAGCGCCGAACAATTGATGCTTTTGAACTGTGGTGTTGGAGAAGACTCTTGAGAGTCCCTTGGATTGCAAGGAGATCCAACCAGTCCATCCTAAAGGAGATCAGTCCTGGGTATTCATTGGAAGGACTGATGCTGAAGCTGAAAGTCCAATACTTTGGCCACCTGATGCAAAGAGTTGACTCATTGGAAAAGACCCTGATGCTGGGAGGGATTGGGGGCAGGAGGAGAAGGGGACAACAGAGAATGAGATGGCTGGATGGCATCACTGACTTGATGGACATGAGTTTGAGTAAACTCTGGGAGTTTGTGATGGACAGGGAGACCTTGTGTGCTGGGATTCATGGGGTCGCAAAGAGTCAGACATGACTGAGTGACTGAACTGAACTGAACCCTAAAAATATATCTAAACAGACACCTTTGGAAGTTTGTTCCCCAGAGAAACCTGTATTTTATAAGCCAATGCCACATGTAAACTCTTTCAGAGTATTGGGTTATTGATGTTTTCTTATTGTTTCATATGATTGGGAGCTAGGACAGGAAACGCTAGGTGGTGCAGATCACTTGCATGGTTGCAAAGGAAGTATCCTGGTGCTGTAGAAAGGACATTACCCGGGTGAGAGATGTCAACTTAGTGTCGTGTGCAAAATGAGAACTGGCCTAGCTTTTTAACCTTTTTGGCTCATGAATTCCTTTGTGCATCTGATTAAAGTTATGGACTTTAATTATTATTAAATTTTAAATTTATTCTTATTTAATTTAAATAATTAAATTATTAAATATTAAAAATTACTAATTATCTGATTAAAAGTTATGGACAGAATACTCCAGCTATGTGCATACATACACTTATTTTTTTCTGCCATATGTTGAGGGTTGTGGGATCTTAGTCCCCACACTAGGTATCTAACCCCTGCCTCCTGCAGAGGAAGCATGGAGTCCTAACCACTGAACTGACATTAATTTTTGTGCACAATTTCTGGATCCTTCTGCACCCCTGAAACCATATATGGATATGGAATTGAGAAATACCAGTACAACATACTATGGTTCATCATTTTGGTCCTTCAATTTTGAACCTAGTGATAATAGTGTTGGTAACAAGGTGCTGTTGGAATCATTTCAAAGACAGAAAGGAGAATGCCACTCTTAGAACTGCTGTTCCTACTTCTCTGACTCCTAACTATTGCCCCAAGTTAGAGCTGTTCAGTTTCCACTTGTGTCTGATGTTAATGAGATAATTTTTTTAAACATAGATCATGAAGCAGTCTCCTAAAAATGGAGTCAGAATAAGATCTCCTAACTGTGCACTTTTGAGTAAAGATATTCTGATGTACATTATGTTTTCAGATGTGCCTGTAAAGTTAAAGTAGTTGTGCTTGCTTGTAGGCTGCCTTGCGACCGACTGATGTGGTGCTGGAGGTTGGACCTGGAACTGGCAATATGACTGTAAAGTTGCTGGAAAAGGCAAAAAAGGTAGAGAGGATTTAGTGTTTGGTATCAGATATCATGTGAATAAGCTCAGGTGGTTTACAGGTATAAATCTGTGTTAATCAATTGCTGTTATTTTAACAGTAACTCTTGTTCCTTTGCTTGAAACTTTATCTTAGAAAATATGAGCAAATTGGGTGAAGTGAGTCAAAAGGTACCAATTTCCAGTATAAAATAAACATGTCCTGGGGATGTAATGGACATTATGATGACTATAGTTAACAACACTGTAGTATATTTGAAGGTTGATAAAGAGAGTAAAAATTCTTATCACAAGAAAGAAAAATTGTAATTATGCGGTCATAAATGTTATATATATCAAATCATTGTGTTGTATACCTGAAACTAATATAATGTTTTATGTCAATTATGTCTCAATTTTTTAAAATGGATTAAAAGAAAAAAATATGGGTATATCAATCAGGAAAACAAACAACATTGGATACTTCAATACAGGGAATTGGTTACATGGTTGTTAGAGGACCAAGAGAATAAAACATTGAGGTTAACCCAAGAGTAGAATTACAAAGAGCAGCTACCACCTCTCGGCTCAGGGGAACAAAGCAAGGGGATTGGAGTTATTGGACTTAGAATGCTGGAGGAGATTTAGCACAGGCCTCTGAGACTGGTTGCTGCTGGTACCTTCTTTGTCTCTTGGTGGATCCAGTTCCAGTTAAATCGGATCATTGCTGTGTCTTCTGGTGGATGTAGGCAACACATGTTAAAGAACTTATCTGGAGAGAGTTCAGTGAAGAGGCCATTGACAAGATGTGGGAATGTTAAGGGAACCAGTAAACATTTAGTGAAGAACCTGGGGACTAGCAACAGCAGGAAACAGTTACCATCCAGCAACCTCAAGGGACAGGCGGAGGGAAATGTGTTTACCGGAGCCCAGAAAGAGCAGGGACAGGGACCACTCATAGCCAGACATGGCCACTGCCAGAACTTGTGCAAGGCAGGCGCGGACATTAGGAAGTACTCAACCCCACCCCTTGGATCCAGTAATGCCTTCCATTAGCCTGGCCCAACAAGAAGTCACAGGGCAAGGGAGCTGGACTGTATTACCCTATAGGCACAGCAAAGCTGGAGAATGGATCTGGGAGCTAAACAGACTAAACCTCACATATATCTGCTCTGTAGGCAGGGTCTTCCTGGAAGTCAGCAAAACCTCAGCTTATACTGAAATAAAATTTCAGCCTATCTGGTATCCCTTTTCATTTACTTGAGAAGGTATCTGTGCTATATGCTCTGGATCTTAGTAGGTGAGAGAAGTAATTTACTCATTCCAGAGCAATTGCTTTGTATGCTTCTAAAGAACATTTACTGCACAGACATATTGTGTATTTTTTTTTCATCATCAGTTGAATTAAAAAGCATGGAGCCATATGAGCACAGTGATTCTGTCAAGTATTTGGGTAGGACGGTCACGTAGTCTGGCTGCCTACTTGTCTGGGTGATGTTTTTTGTTGTTCCTTTAACCCCCATGACACATTTTGTAAAATCGTCTCTTCATTAAATTCTCTTCAGATAAGTTCTTTAAAATGTACTGGTAGAGTACAATTGAAGAATAATGATGGTGGAATTGGGAAAAGAATTTTAATTCATTTCAATAATGTAAGTTCCTATTGAGATAACAGGAAAAGATTTATTCTCCATAATTAGCCTACAAAAAAATGTGTTTTTTTTTTTTTAATTTAGGTAATTGCTTGTGAACTTGACCCAAGGCTAGTAGCTGAACTTCACAAAAGAGTTCAGGGCACGTGAGTATACATAATAGAATTAAAGTACATTTCAGTCTCATGAAACAATGTTCTTTTTAATTGCTTTTTTTTTTTTTTTTGTCTTATTATCAGGCCTCTGGCCAGCAAACTTCAAGTAATGGTGGGTGATGTGTTAAAAACAGATCTGCCATTCTTTGATGCTTGTGTGGCAAATTTGCCCTATCAGGTATGTTTTCAAAATGTAGGAACATTACATTTACTAAATGGTTTTCTGGTGGGTCTTTCCCAGAAATAACCAGTTAATTCTTTTCCAGATCTCTTCTCCTTTTGTCTTCAAGCTGTTGCTGCATCGACCTTTTTTCAGGTTTGTGAAAAGAAGACTAAAGTTACTGCCAAATCTTGGAAAAATTACAGTTTAGGCCATGAACACAGATGGCTAAAGGTTAAGGTTAATTCAATAGAAAAACTACTGGGGATGTTTTGTAGAAAACGTCAGTCTGTGTGCTGCTCTGTCCCACAGTCTTCAGCAGTTGCTAAGAGTTATTTGGGAGAGGTGTGGTCTGAGTCGAGCTTCTGAGACCAGATGCCTTTCTGTATTTTCTTATGCTTTTGTTTTTAGCCCAGGTCACACTTCTTATGTCTAGATTCTTAAATGTCCTGCTAACTGGTTTCTAGTACACTCTGTAGCAGTGATTTTCAAATTGCAGGTCAAAAACTCCTTAGTAGGTATAAAGTAAATTTAATGAGCCATGACTATCATTTTTTTAAAAAAATGACATGGAATGGAATATATCAGAGGGCATTCATTTCATGTCATCTCGCTGATTATAGTTTCGTGAAACTTTTGTTGACCTGAAATACTCTCTCATCTGATCATTGAGGGCTTACATTCACAAGGGGTTAGAGCTACAGCCATTATACAATGAAAAACAAAAAGCCAGCTGGGTCATTCTGTGACCCAGCTTTATTCTGTGGGAATAAAGCTCAGACTGAAGCTGTTCTCCCTTCTGGCCAGCTGGACTATTATTAACCACAGCTATTGATTTACTGTTTCCCACCTAAGAAAAATCATTGAAGTTAAAATACATTTATAGTTGAAAATGACCTTTCTCTTTTTATTCCTTTCTGCTGTCTTTTCAGATGTGCTGTACTAATGTTTCAAAGAGAATTTGCTCTCCGACTGGTTGCAAAACCTGGAGATAAGTTATACTGCAGACTGTCAATTAACACACAGCTGTTAGCACGTGTGGACCATCTAATGAAAGTAAGTGACTTGTTGAAATGATGGGGCTTGGAAAAGACCCTGATGCTGGGAGATTGAGGGCAGGAGGAGAAGGGGACGACGGAGGATGAGATGGCTGGGTGGCATCATTGACTCGATGGACGTGGGTTTGGGTGGACTCCGGGAGTTGGTGATGGACAGGGAGGCCTGGTGTGCTGTGGTTCATGGGGTCGTGAAGAGTTGGACACGACTGAGCAACTGAACTGAACTGATCATTGAGCATCTAGCTGTGCCTTCTCTGAGGAGAGCATGTATGATTACTGTTTTTAAAAAAATTTTATTTTTGGCTGCAGTGAGTCTTCGTTGCTTTGTATGGGCTTTCTCTAGTTGTGGCGAGCGGGAGCTGCTCTTTATTGCGCTGCACAGGCTTCTCATCGCAGTGGCTTCTCTTGCTGCAGAGCATAAGCTCTAGGTGTGTGGGCTTCAGCAGTTGCAGCATGTCAGCTCAGTAGTTGTGGCTTGCAGGTTTAGTTGCTCCTTGGCATGTGGAATCTTTCCAGACCAGGGATTGAACCCATGTCCCCTGAATTGGCACTTATCCATTGCACCAGCAGGGAATTCCTGATTACTAATTAAAGTTGTTTTTGAGAGGACTACTTAAACATTTTCTGATTAACAGGTTGGAAAGAATAACTTCAGACCACCACCCAAGGTGGAATCCAGTGTGGTAAGGATAGAACCTAAGAATCCACCACCACCTATCAATTTTCAGGTGAGGTTAAAATAGGGTCATTCAATAAAAGGAAAAAAAGTCGAAGGTGGAAGATGTGTGTCTGTAGCAGCAGAAAAATGAGTCAACCTAAATGTCTAAATAGGAGAATATTAATTATAATACATCCTGTGATGGAATAGATGGAATTATTTGACACAACATAGTTGTTGAAGATCTCAAGAGCATGGAAAATGTTTGCAAAAGATAAAAAGATTAGAAATACCATTGCAGTTTGCTGGCGATTATATCTACAGAAAACATGTATCTATTTAATAAGACATGGGAAACAAGATAAAATGAAAATAGTTGTGTTACAGTGTGGGTAACACGGTTTAATCAATTATAATTTTTGCCATTTAAAGAGAAGAAAGTCAGATGACTTGATGTAAAACCTCACTGTAATCACATTGGATAAAAACATACGTATATGGCCAGTAGCTTATGGCACTGGTGTGGTTCTCAGCTATTCCTGCAAGGTTTAGCTAGGTGTATTACACAGGCTGTATTCTAAATTATGTCTATTTTGAGTCATGTTTTTTGAAAATGATACTTAGATTTAAATAAATACAATGTTCTTTGTTCTGATGTGGCACAAATATGTTTTCTATTTTTAAAACTGAGGGTAAAATAGTCAAAGAGGTGCACAAAAGTGTGAAAATCAAGTATAGTTCTTACTTTTGCATATGTGAACTAGCCACATCAAGATATAGAACATTTTTATCACTCCGGAAGCTTTCAGTTTTATATATTAAGACAAAATAGTACCTACTAGGTATTGGTGGGATTTAATATTTTCTAAGAAAATACTATCTACTGTTTCAGGAATGGGATGGCCTAGTAAGGATCACCTTTGTTAGGAAAAACAAGACACTGTCTGCTGCATTTAAGTAAGTATTTTACTAATTAATGATATATGAGGGATCAGTGCTTCAAATACTGTGCTAAGCGCTAAAATTTGGTCATTTTCCTGAACAGTATTACCCTAAAGCATACACATGATCCATGTCCAGACACACTTTTAATTTTGTACTTTAGGAGGCAAGAGAATTTAATGAAGAAAAGTTCCTGGACTTCGGAATTAGATTAGATCAGGTTTGATTTTTTTGAGAAATGGGAAAAACCCTAAAACTATACCCCACATCTCCCTTTCTTTGGAAAAATGAGGTGACAGATGGACCCCTTCCACACTTTAGAAAGATTCATGGCATTTTAACTTGAAAACATATGATAGCAATTTGGGGCCCAAGGTCAAAAAAATGGTGAAAGCCACAATGAAAAAATTAATTTTTGAGATGATGTTTTTTGTAATCTGAAACTTCCTAAGAATGTAAGAGATGTCTATTAGGTTTAAATATTAGTAGTTGTGATTATTTCAGAAGTTTTAAATATTCAACCTTTTTTAGTTCTTTAATTTTACCATGTGGAACATAGGCTTAATCTTACAGTAAAGGAAATTTATAATCTGTTTGGAATAATAGTGACATCATTTCTTTATGTAATATAGGTCAAGTGCAGTGCAACAGCTACTGGAAAAAAACTACAGAATTCACTGTTCAGTCCATAATATTGTAAGCAGAAAATGTTTTTGTTGTTTCAATAATTTGTGTTTTAAAATGTCCATTTCCTACTGTTTCCTATATCATTACAAAACTCTTAATTATGAACATTTCATAGGATCCTTAAAAGACAGTATGTCATGTATAACTAGCAGGAGAACGTCAACTCTAATAGTTCAGTGCTGCTGTGTATTTTGTAGAACGTATCTGAGCAGCCTTGAATACTCTATCCTTTTTTACGGACAGTTTTTTTTCTTTTGGCTATAAAAAGATTCAATTGAGTCATAATTTTCTCCCAAGTTTTAACCATGTATAACTTACTCAGCTTAAAGTTATTTGCTGGCCTTTGAATTGTGGTCATCCCTTCTTGCTTGTTGCTCACATAGAAATTACAAAGTTACCATTTTCTCAGTGACTTTTTTTAATACCCAGAAATTGAAATTAGAATAGAATTGAAATAGAGATTGAAATAGAATAGAATAAAGCAAGTGATAAATAGCAAGCTCTGGTTGTGAACCTCATGTCTTTTACCATTATCTGTGCAACATTTTCTTTAGTTGTGTGAACACACAGACATCTATATATGACTGTGATGTTTGATAACTTTTTAGTTTTCCAATCTAAACAGAGTGGCAGATTAAAGGAAATTTCCTTTTTTTTTTTCCACTCAGCTCTTATGTGGTTTAATGTACCGGTAGCATAGCTACCTCCATTTTATGAATACAGTCTCCAAACAACTACCCATCATAGGAAATACTAAGTTGGATTAAGAAGTTTTTGGATGGAAAATGTGAAGTGTGAAGTATTCTCAAGTGTTAGAGAGGCTATCTTTGAGAAAAACTAGCTAGCTAGTTTAATGAAATTTGTGCCAAGAAAATGTTATTTTTAAAAGATATTAACAATTGCTGTAAAATTTAGTTTACAGCTTTAATTATGTTATGAAGTACTTTGTGAAGCCTGAAATGTAACTGTTTCAGAATTTCTAAGAAATAGGGCAGTATACACAATGAGTATTTGATATGTGCTGAAGATCAACCAGTTAATGAATTAAGATGCAAGTCTTATTGACACAGATAGGCTTTCCAAAACTATCATGAAAGGATAAAGTGACTGTTTATGACTTACTGAACTGGGAAAAAAAAAAAAGAGTCAAGGTGACTTCATTAAAGATCTGTTGTTCATTTATTCTGAATCTTGTATTGATAGATAATACCAGAAGATTTCAGCATAGCAGATAAAATACAGCAAATCCTAACCAGCACAGGTTTTAGTGACAAGCGGGCCCGTTCCATGGACATAGATGATTTCATCAGGTAACTACATTTTCCTTTTACTACATGTTTACATTTCTTTACTGTGACACCTTCATATTTAGAGATTTAAAGGCTTTTAAGCGGTTATAAGGTGCTACCTGGGAGTTATTGCATAGCACTTCCATGGCATGGAATATTTGGTGTAGAAGATGGAGGCTAGTTAGCTGCAGCAGAATGAACATTTTCTGTAAGAACAGGAAGTGAAGAACAGTCCCAGCCTGGAGATAACCTCTGTGACAGTGTGAGTTATGGTGTGCGTACTTCTCCCTTCCAGCCCCCTCCCCAAACTCCCATTCATAGGCTTAATAGTTTGTCTATTGAAAGTAGCATGTCAGGTAGAAGAATCAAAGAATAGCTTTTAAGTATGAAATAATATTAGTTACAATCGTTATCTGGTTATCATTTCTAACTGGTTCAGTAACTTATTTCATGGACTGAGGCAAGTTCTACACACCAGAAGTAAAAAAAGAAAGAACGGTGTCATAATTAACCGGGCAGTATAGAGAAAAATTTGTTTTCCTTTCCTTCGATTAAGCAAGTAAATCTTATGAAAGCAGAGTAAGGTGTCAAATACCCAGGTAATAATTGACCTGGATTCATTGTTTTTAATCACTAACACTTTGATTTCCTAACTAAAAAACCATAAAGTTTTGTCTCTTTATCCATTTTTAAAGCTTCCATGATCTAGAGGCTGAAAAAAAGAGGGTAGATTGATATAAAAGTCACTGGTTTACTTTATGCTAGAAACACAGTTGTATGTAGCTGAGACAGATGACATATATTTTATTGGCAGGCTAGCAGTACTACTGTTTTCATTAGATGTTAATGCCAGGAGTTGAACATTATCCATAAGTAGTACCCATCTTTAGATATCTTAACCCTTCTTGTTGGTTCTTATGGGCCATCCTGAAAATAATCTCAGGCAGGTCTAAAGAGAAATATTTCATCTTATTTTCCTTCATTCTTATTAATTGTCTGCAAGGTTACTAAACATGCAGCTTACTAAAACAGTGATCTGGTAAGTACAACGTATCCAGAGAGAAGTAAGTATTTGAGTCTGAATAACTGAGCTCAGAGAGAAGAAAGGACACATGAGATTAGCCATTCATCTCTCCCATGTCTCTAATTCCAAATAGCTTTGCATTCATTTACCAGGTTGAAATGGAACAAGTACCAATGTGCTCTTAGGCCAGGGTTACTGTAGGTCTAAGATTATTTTAGTTAAATTCATCATGCCTTAAGACATATAGGCTATGACAGGAGAGGCACCAAAATGAGGTGGCATAAACTTAATTGAAGAATAAATAAAGCTTTAGACATCTTAGGAGTATTTGTGTTTTAGAACTCATGGTATAAGGACTATGTAGGCATTGTTACTTACTACAAACTAGCATTTCAGTACCATCCCACTTGGTTGTTTTTCAGATTGCTACATGGATTCAATGCAGAAGGTATCCATTTTTCTTAGACATCTGAAAAAGAAGTTTTTCAAGCTCAAGGAAAAAAGTGGAATTATATATTCTTAATAATTTGAAAAAATGAGCTATGCTTGGACACTATGTGCTTGACTACTTTTGATGTACTACTGTTGTCACCATTTATTTCTCTGAATTTTTAAGAAAGTAAGTCAATTCTAAGTGTCCAAGGTTTCTTTGTATTTTGCTCTTTTTTGTTTGTTTTGGTTTAATATATAATACAAGGCAGGGTGATAATAATCTTCAAGAGCCGCAGATACGCACAACTTTACACTTCAAGTTATTTCTAACAGTGTATTAAGATGTTACCCTTTTATTTTCTGTTATATATTATTGTGAAAACCTTTTTTAGGCTTTTAGCTCTTCAGGCCTTTGTCCTTCAAGTCATAAAAAAGTTAAAATGTTTAATTTAGTCACATATTCCCCATACCCTTTCTTCTTGTTATTCATGTGTACAGTAAAGCAGTTGTCTTAAAATGTTATTTTGCTTCTTGAATTCCTTCTGTTTTCCTGTCCAGTTTCTATCCCTGCCTACCTCTAGCAATCCTGTAGTGTTAACAGGCTACATCAGGGTTTTAGGTAAGCCTGAGCCTGCTGCCGCCACCACACGGTGCCAGGTATATATCACTTCTGGGCATTCCTTGTAAATGAGCGTCTCAACTAGAATGAAATTAATTAGAAGACTGTATGATTTTTTTCTTGGGGAGACAGTCATAGACTTAAAATTTCAAAGAGTTTTATAAATCAAAACTGACTTTAAAGTTAAAATCTCTGCTCTTCAATTTCAAAACAAACCAACCCAACCAGCCATTCTGCCACAACCACAGGTTCCCAAGATTCATGATTTCTGGGTAATTAAAAATTTCAATAGATGTCATAAATAAGTCTTAATTAGCTACAATGTTTAAATCATTATCAATATTATATTCAATATTGTAAATGTCCTTTAACAAAGAATTATAGTAGTTGACTATTTTATTTATATAAGGAAATAAAAATATTTTCAGTGACATTTGGTTTTCTTTATACCTAATTTAATAGAAGGACTATCTCAAGATTACTTTAACAGAGATCCATACAGCAAGTGAACCTAGAAAGAAAGCTAAGTTGTTTGCCTAAACAGATTTTTTAGAAATCTGGCCTCAAAGTTATATATTAAAACATTCCTATATAACTAAAATAATGTATATTTTTAGTTAATTTTAATTATTAAGGGATATCAGCTTTCAAGTCTGAGAAAGTAAAGAACGTTTAATCCAGATCCAAAAATTTTTAAGTTATTCTTTAAATAGCTACTGCATAAAGCCACTTTTGTACATAAATAGTACATAATAAGAGTAGGTTTTTTTTAATCTCACAAAACTACTTAGCAAAGTTTACTTGTACCATCTCTATCTTTAAAGATTTAATTCAGCTTTCCCTCTTATTTCCCTGTCCTCCTGTGAACTGCCTGCTGAGTTTTAGTCCCTTTTAACAACAGAAGGAATGGATTATACTACCAAGATCCTTTCTGATACTAATGTTTAATATACCTTGCATGCTATTCAGAATGAAGCCTTTATATAGTATAAGGCAGTGTATTTCAACTTCAGGAGACCTTCCACAGATAATACCCTTTTAATTTAAATAATAAATTAAGACTAATCTGTTGTGCTTAAAATGAGTAAATTCACGTTATCTCTTTATGCCCTTTGAAGGTTGGTTAGGCTCAGAAACTACCTTTTTAAACAGCCTCTGTAAGGTCAATACTACCAGTTCTCCATTCTTCCTCTTCTCCTTGAAATAAACACAAGTAGAACATATCTCACAGCTGCAAGAAAACCTGAGTTCCTTCCAAAACAAAGGTGATTGTATTGAAGTAAATTGTCTCTAAAACTCATTACACAGATTTAATTTATTAATAATAAGCACACTGTGAAAATCTACATTTGTACTAGATTTCAAGTTTACAGAGGAGCTTTTCACCATGGTGTTAGGATTTCCCATGACTACCCTTTGAATTCTATGAACAGTGAAGTAGGGAGTCTGGCTCATATGACTCTCTATTCATAGCTTCCCTTTGGCCCACAGGAATGAGCTGGTAGTTCCCTAGAGTAAATCAAAACAAGATATCCCTGGGAGACTTTTTGTTAATGTACTCCTAGACACTATCCTGGGAACTGAGGGAAAACTCCTAGAGAGATAGAAATCTTCTAACAAAATATTTACATGAAAAGTGGCCAGTTTTCTTCCTTGGAATAGCAATCTGTAAAAATAAGTGCCACCATTTAAAAAGTAGCATGCCCTAGATGAACTGATTGGTGAGAATTTGGTGGTTCTCACCAAATAGTGGTGAAACATCAAACATTAGGTAATGGGTGGAGCTTGGGTTAGATCTGCCTTTTACGGCGAAGTCAACTCTTTAGCTTAAATTCTTTCTCAACATAGTTATGTACTGTCTACACTTGGCTTAAACTAACAGTTCTATTATGGACTACTTTCAATGTACATGTACATATTCATGCATCAGAAGCCAATTTCCTTTAACTGTACCATTTAAAAGGTACATTTTGGGGTGCTAATGGACACTTCAACTTAAGTAATGGTATTGGTAAAGATCAAATTGCACTATTAGTCTTGGTAATACCACACTGGAACACACACTGCGTATATATGTATTATCCTAAGATAAAACTCTTTTCAGAATTTCTTTACTTTTTATTATACACCAACTAGTTTATATTTTAGTTCTTTACAAAGAAAATGCTAAGAAAATTATAACCACATGTTATATGGTTTTAAAATCATAATTCCAGATTTTTTTACATATAAGATGGAATGGTCCAGCAGCTATGTCCACTGTCACAGACTTTAGTTCCATTCAATGATATGGCACATCCTGCAAAATTAACTAGTCACACACAAAAAAAAGTCTCAATTACAGTAAAAATGTACACACAATAAAGGTAATTTACAATGACAGATAAGGAATGTAATTTATCTTGGCTGTGCTTCATAAATTTAGGGTCAATAGCCTTAGTCAAGGCACAAAGCAGGAAGAGGTGAGCACAGCTGTTTCTAGAAGTGGGCAAGGTATGTACAATCACTGATGAGGTATGCATGCACGCAAAGGATTTAAAACTGCTCAGTCTTGCCAAGAAAACTGAACTGAGTTAAAAGGAAATGCTGTGGCTTCCCCTTACTATTCACCTCTGGATCAAGTCCACAATCTTACTTCATCATATAGAAAATAAAATTGGCAAGGATCTCCAAAAGTAACTCACTATCTGGGTAAATGAAACAAAATGCTTCACTATTCCCAAATCTTGGTTGTGCCTCCTGACTAGAAGCATCTTGTAGACAAAGGAGTGTTTCACAAAATTGAAATGTCATTCAGGTGAAGGGACAAGACATTTTCCACAGACACTTAAGATTTCAAACTTTCAAATGGCCCTTACAGCTGAACCATTGCTATGTTACAGTAGCGAGGGTTCTGGGGATCCTTTAGCAGCAAATGCTGATTTAAAGGGCACGGGGTCTCTTCGGGTTGATTTGCTTGCTGGCTTGTTCTTCTTCTTGCAGAGCTGCACGAAAAGATTTCACTTTATCTTGGAAAAAGAAAAGAAAGGAATAAGTTTTGCATTACATGCGATGCAGTATACAACTTTATGCATCCTATCAAATCATCTCTTACAGTATCAACTCAGGGTTTTTTCTTTTGTTCTTTGTGATCCAGAAACTTGGAACTAAACATAGTGCTCAGGTATAGCAACAAATTCATAGATTCTGAGAAATGCTTGCAGGTTTTATTTGTTGTTATCTTCACAACAGATTTCTGTTCTATTTGGCATATTTTACAGTGTTCAATTTTAATTTCTTTGAATTCCTTTTTACAGTGTAAAGAGGCTATATATGTATGTATAATAGTTATTTCTTCTCAGAGTATTAGAAAATGTCTACTTTCAATTCCTTTTTTGCCTTTTAAGCTATGAAATTTTAAGTTCACTTGAGTTTTTAAGACATGTCACTTTTTCCTTATTGGGGATTACAAAGGGTACGGTGAAGAAGGGAGATTACAAAACATACATTTCTTGGTCTTACAATTCTGTCTTACTGTCTTATCATGTACTGATTCAGATTCACACAGAGTAAGAAACAGGTAAGTAAAAATTGGAAGAGGCAAGTAACTGTCTGCTGTGTGAAGATGAGAAATTTTTCTCCAACAGTGGTTCTCAATTGGGGTGATTTCTGTCCCTCCCAGGGACATCTGGTAGCATCCTCAGACATTTTTGATGGTCAGACTGGGGTGGTGCTACCATCACCTACTCAGTGCAGACTCAGGACAGCTGTAAGCTCTGCACAATGCACAGGAGATGGCACCTTCCAATAGTCTCCCAACTTAAAACGTGTTAATAGTGCAGATTATAGCTTTCAAAAAAAGGAGAAAGATACAATGTTGGAATCTTGATTTCTTTCCCCTCTTCCTAAGTACAGTGATGTTGAAAAAAGTTGATTTTTTTCTGAAATTTAGAAAGGAATATAAGGACTTCTGAATCTGATGCCTGCTAACATAATAGCTCTCAAATTTATATTAATATCAAAATTATATTTGGTAAATTTTTTTTCTAAGTAAGGACTGAATTATACAATATTTAGGTAGTAATTTCTTCAAAGTTTGGATATACTTAATATTTACATGAATCCTAAGAAAAGGATAGGAACTAAGTTGAAAGCTACATCTTGCAGTGAAAAAAAAAAAAAAAAAGGATGCATTGTGATCTGTCTCCTGAATAAAATGCATACAGAAAGCTGCCTGTACATTATGGCACATTAGAAAAATGATCAAAACACGTTAAATCAAGGCTTCAATATGAAGAACATGAAAAACAGCAAATTTTAGAAATCCTACATCTGCACAAACAATTCTAAATTGGCAAAATGGTCACTGCTGACTCTATAGGATATGATTTCAAATAACTAACTTTACAAAGAACCTAGTTTAAAAAATTAAGCAGCTTGTTTAGTGCTAAAAAATCCAGCAACTTCAGTCTAGTTTCATGTTGCACTGCATGTACACACAAAGAAGCCTACTTGCATATAAATGAAGATAGCTAATTTGCCAAAGCCTAGGAAATCAGCACATGTAACACGTGCTTATCTGAAGTCGCACAGATAAGCTTAGTAACTATAAAGTCAAGAAAGAAGACATGGCATGTGGGTAAGCCACATGCTTTCCTTCATGAACAAAGCAGAAAGAGTAGCTGTTTGGAACCTTCCCCTTCATTTTTTAAAACAAGAGTTCAAAGGAAAATCATGACAAGATATGCACAGAAAGGAGATGCAGGTAGGAGGTGATAGAAAGATGACCTGGAATAGATCTAAACCAAGAAAAATAATACTGAAAAGAATTGGCCTAACAAACCAAAGCTCTGCGTGGGTATATAAAACTTAAAAACTTGTTAAAATGTATTTTCCCTCTTTAATCATAAGATGTCTTTATCTTCTCCAAAGACTAAAACAAAAAAGATGATAGACAGCACTTATAATATTTCATGTTTCATTTTCAGGAAAAAACCCCAGAATGGTGGGCTGGTCTTTATAACTCTAGAAAGATGCTAAACATGCCCATAATTTTTACTTCAGATGTCTTCTTACAATATGAAATCTTCCCACTAATTACATACAAGTATTAGGCAGATTTCAAATGATAAAATGAAAACAATTACCCCGCAGTTCAGTTAAAATGTCTATTTTTTGCTCAAGAATAGCTTCAAGTTGCGTGGCGTATGAATCCACATCATAGTCTACTTCTTCAGTCATCTCTAGGAGAGCCTTTTCATCTTCTAACCATCGGATAGATTCCTAAAACGACCCACCCCCGCAAAAAAAAAATCCAGTAAGCCTCTTTATAAGACAGAAACCAATTTATAGATTTATCTTAAATATAATCAAACATACTCAAGACAGTATTCTCTGAAATATTTATAACCATAAAACATCTTTATTTACAGAATAAAGTCAAGAAATATTTCTTTAAATTCAAATATAAACATGATAGGCATAAAAAAAGTCCTATGTTTACTTTGAGTGGGGTTTGGGGAAGGGAATGAAGCAAACACATGAACAAGTGGGAATGAATCACACACACGCATGCCCATCCATGAGCAGAGTAACTCTCAAAGCCTCAGCTGTCCCTAAAACAATGGGTGTGATAAAACTTCTGAGCGTCTCAGGAGGCCTATGGGAGACTATAACTGAAATTAACATCCATTTGGGCCTCACAGAGGTTGTGCAAAGAGGTAATCATAAATTCGAAACACTAGCTCTTCAAAATTATTGACTGTAAGGAAACACTGGATAGCTCCCATTTTTTTTGCTGCACTGTGTAGCCTGTAAAATCTTAAGAGTTCCCTGACCAGGGACTGAACCTGGGCCCTCAGCAGTGAAAGTGCAGAGTCTAACCACTGGACCACCAACGAATCCCCAAGAAAGCCCAATTTAGAAGAGTCAATTGAACCACTAAATAGTAACTAATTACTACTATTCTAAGTGTTTTAACGAAACCGTTAACTCAGTTTAGATATGTGGAACTGATGAATTTCATTTTCTCACAATGCCACGAACCATAGATTATTAACAAGGTCAGATCATTTTAAATTAAAGACTTAGGGGATATAAATATGGACATTTTCTAGCTTTTTACAGTACACACAGTTTCACTTTTCCAAACATCAATGCAATTTAATGACTAGTTCAGTTCAGTCACTCAGTCGTGTCCGACTCTTTGCAACCCCATGAACTGCAGCAACGCCAGGCCTCCCTGTCCATCACCAACTTCCAAAATCTACCCAAAACCGTGTCCTTCGAGTAGGTGATGCCATCCAGCCATCTCATCCTCTGTCGTCCCCTTCTGCCCCTAATCATTCCCAGCATTAGGGTCTTGAAAGCCTCACTTAACTGAGTTTTGTTGTTTAGTTACCAAGTCATGTCTGACTCTTCTGCAACCCCATGAACTGTAGCCTGCCAGCCTCCTCTGTCTATGGAATTTCTCAGGCAAGAATACTGGAGTGCATTACCATTTCCTTCCAGGTATCTTCCCGACACAGGGATCAAACCAGCATCTCCTCGTTTGGCAGGCGGGCTCTTTACCACTGAGCCACCAGGGGACCCTGTTTGAGTTTTACGGGTGTTCGTATTATTCTAACAATTTTCTTAAAATTACAAGTGTCCTTTTTGATTTAATCTAAAAACTTAGGGCTCTTAAGAGAGCCTCATAATAAGCGTTTGACTTTAACAGTTTTAATCATTGTGCATCCAACTCTACAATTATAAATAGTTCTCGTATTTTTGAGCCCTTCATCCAAGGGTGTGAATTGCCTAGAGTTGAGGAATGTTAATATTTGTTTACAGATAAAGATTTCTTCAATATCAGAGAAGGATATACAGGTTAATAGGACAAAGGATTTATAGTACTATGGGAAGGGAGTGGGGTTCAGGAGCAAGTCGACCGTGCAGTCTCCATAAAGATGTTCAAATAGGTATCACCCTCCAGAATACTTTCTTGTTTAATAAAGAGGGGAGGTTCATATAGTAAAAGGTTTTATAAATAGGCTGAACATACAATAGGATAAATACCTAAGGAGTTACAGCTATATGAAGGGATATATTCCCCCTCATTCGTCTGTGACTGACAGCTCAGTCAGAGCAGTAACTCTCCTGAAAAAACCTTCCTTTTCTGCAAACACTAACTCTTACTTAACTGCTCTGACACCCTTCAGTAAAGTTTTCCAACTGCCTACCATGAAGAAACAGGTAAAGGAGGGCAGAAGATGAACTCCTCTAAAAACAGACAACTAACAAAAGCAAATAAAGTGGGAGAATAGTAAAAATCAACTACATCTTTTTACCACAGTTGCAAAGAAAGTTTGTTTGTAGTCATCATTCATTCTATTCAAAATTTACTGTGTCATATGCCCTACAAACACACATATGCATAAATATAAACAAGCACTTTTTTAGATTAGTGTGACATTCAAAAGTCATTAATAGTTAATTTTTCTAGAAAAACATGTGATTAAGGATTCTGCCATACTTCACCTGGAATACTGCCCTGTGATCTTCTACAACTTGTTCTTCCATTTCTACCATTTGTGAGACAGCTTCATGGAAAGTAAACAATTGTGGGGATACCTCTTCTTCCTTAAAATAAAAACAGTTTAAAAACTATGACATAAGTTTATATTTTAAATTTTATAATAAAAAAGTGATTTTTCTATGTCATTTACAAAAATGCAATTGAGAAACTGAAGAAGCCTGAATGTTAAAGACAAAAAATAAAAAACGAAAGGCAAAACCAGAATTTCTTTTCATGGGTCAAAAATATTTAACATTCAGTAAGACAACTCAAACGTATCAGTAGGAGATAGTTTTCACTTAGCCCAAGTTTTACTACAGAATAACTCTAAAAAAGCAGTCTCTTTCAGGAGTGCAACTTTTCAAAAGTACATTTATCACAGGTTATAAATATACTGAAATATTTCTTCAGCATTGTTTACTTTCACTAACAATTCATATATATGTCTTAAATTTCTTTTCAGTACAAGAAGCAAAATGTTGAGTTTTACGTTCATTCAGTGTTCGTTTAAAATAACATTTCAGTGTAACAGAGATGTAAATATTACATCCTTCATGACTGTGACTATCAAACTGGTATTCTGAAGGTCTTAACTCTTACTAAATTTAAACCCTGAATTGCACTACATAATTTACTTAGTTTTTTTTTACAGAAGTTTTAATGGATAATTCACGACTCTACTTCATCCACAAATGCCTACAAATGTACATATCATATATTTTGGTCCTGTACCAAGTCAAACTTCTCCAGCTTTGTTTTCTTTTTTGAGCTTCCTTTCCAACTCTAGTATCTAATGATTTATTTCCTCAAAACTCAGCCACAGTGATAGAGAAGTTCACTTAAAATTGCTTTAGAAAATGTCAGTGCGAAAGCAACATTTTTCAAACAAAATACACAATTCTAAATATATGGGTGTATCTTGGTTAAATTAAATATTGTAAGTAGACATTTGACTCTTTCATCAATACGCTACCATCCCTATAAGTTTATATAATCACGTTAGCTAAAGAATTTTTTATTTTCTCTTTGCGCAAAGAGCCATCTATCTGTTTTTAATCAACATATGCAGGCATGATTCTCTCATATTCTGTCTTTCTGGTAAATCCACAATCAAAAACCTTTACTTATTTTATCTGCCCACCTCCCTGCCAAGCCCAGAACATCCTGTCTTTCCTTTGCTTCAAGATACTATGCAAATTCCTATCACTTCCATGCAGTCCACGCAGAGTACTTTTTTATCTGTACAACTACTTTCAGAATTCTAATGCACTTGATTATCCTCCAGTCTGTCTACTGTATTACTTTTATCTCCAGAGTATGTCCTAGACACGATTCCATTTTACCTACCTTGTTAAAATTTAATACAGCAGTAAGAATATGTAACACATGCATCAATACTTAACTGAAGGCTAATGCTGAACTATCTCAAGATAGTTCCTTGGGGAAAGCAAAGTTGAAAGAAATTCACTCTCTCATACGTGGAGAAGGTTGCAAGAACCCATAATGTCATGCTTAAAAAGTGTCTAGATTAGTTCTAGTGACCTAGCCAAGCTCTCCAAATTAAGGTCCCACAGAGACCCAACAGATACAAGAATAAAATGAGAGAGAGATGCTGTAGGGAGTGCCTATCTCATTTTGGTTTTTTGTATCTTTGGAGGCACCATATGTAGGAGCAAGGCAGGGTTTGCTTTAAGGATTTCAAAAGCAACTACATTTTCTTTCAAAGCTTTTGGGGACAGAGGATAGACTAACACCAGGATTTCATTTTTATTTATTTATTATCTATGGTTCAAAGTTGAGAACTCTTATTTAAACCAGGTTTCTTGCCTTCAGCATCACAGACATTTTGTGGGGGTTTGTGGGGGGAGAATGTCCCTGTGCATTGTATGATATTGAGCATCATCCCCCGCCTGAACCCACAAGATCTGAGCAACACCATCCCACTTGGGATGACCAAAGATGTCTCCATACATTTTTCCCTGGAGAGGGGCCAAGTCATTCCTGGTTGAGAACTGCTGCATTAAGTCCCGCTTTATTAATAGAAGTATTTTGGAACATGATAACAAAATTAGTATGTCCATTCTTTAGAATATTTGGACTTTAAAATATCTGCTGGAAAGTATTAACACATTAAACTTATACTGTTTTCAAAGAATATCTTATTGCAGCAGGCAATAAATTTAGCTGACATGAGATTCACTCTGGAATAAGAAAGATCCAGACTTCAATCCTGCCTGGCTTCAGCACTTATTACTTAATCTTTTAGAAAATGTGAGGATTATGTCAGTTAATAAAATGCTTAGCAAATATGTGTCATGATATAGTAAGCAACTAATAAATGCTATCTTTATCATTATAAGAAAATGCCACTATAGGATTATCAGTGGGAAAAGTGATACAAAACTATACAGATAATACATTTAAAAAATGAAGTTAAATAACTATGTGAAAATATCTGTGCTTTTTGGTTATTTTTTAATACATCTTTGTCCTTATGCATTATTATTTTTAAGCAACAGGGGAATCAAAATTTTAAATAATGAAATGTCACCAAACATTCAAAAATACAGAAAGCAGTTAGGTATAACAAATGTCAGATTTTTTTCATTTTTGATATAGTTCATGAGTCCTTTTAGTATATATCCATGTGTCTAAAGTTAATCTTGTTTCTAAGCTTTATGTATAGGGTATATTGCATGTACAATTCTCAAACTTGTCTGTTTCCTGTATTATTTTAAAAATTCCCTGATCGCTCACTGGTAATGAATCCGCCTGCCAATGCAGGAGACACGGGTTCAATCCCTGAGGCAGGAAGATCCCACATCCCACAGAGCAAACAAAGCCAGTGAGTCACAACTATCAAGTCTGTGCTCTAGAGCCCAGAAGCCAGAACTTCTGAGCCCACATGCCCTAAAGCCTGTACACTGCAATGAGCAGCCTGTGCAACTCAACTAGTGAGTAGCTCCTGCTCACCGAAACCAGAGAAAAGCCCGTACAGTAACAAAGACCCAGCATAGCTAAAAGTAAGTCCCCAAATTTTAATCAGTATAAAATTTGGAAAAAAGAATAGTTAGATCAGGGGTCAGTGAACTTTAGTACATATTTTAGGCTTGTGAGCCATATGGTCACTGTCGCCTCTGTTCTTAGTGAGCATGGTCATACTTCAACAAACTTGATTTGTAAAAATAGATGGCAGGCCCACAGGCTTTAGTTTATTGATTCCTGATTTAGAGGACAGTTTTCATTTATTCTGGTATGTATGACACAACTAAGATTAGATAATTGCAACGATATTACGTCACTTACATTCTGTTCACAAAGAAGTTTTAGATCATCCCTCTGAGGGGAACTGCCCACACCCCACTGTGCCTCTAAGTCATCAATCTGATTTGGGGGATGGTGCATTATTGGACGGACGTCACCAGCAGCAGTTGGATCCACAGTCAGTTCTTTAACCCTATAAACACATAAGAGTTATCTTTAATTAACAAAGACTCATGAGGGACAAGAAATATTAACCTATTTAATGTAAAAGCAATTCAATTAACATATTAATATTGATGATGTCAGCTTTCCAGATCAAATCTAACTGAAAACTGTGGAAATATTATTAAAGGTATGCCGAGATATTAAACTTCAGGAACTTACTTAGATACAGCTTTATAATTACTTCAGATAGAATTACTGTGAATAACAAATTGAGAATCAAAGTATGCTGATTCAGAATTTCAAAATAAATGAGACATTTGTTACAGTTAAAATCTTAGCAACAATACTTAGATTAATAAATGCATCATTGTCAAAAATCAGTTTGTTTTTTTTTTTTGGCTGCACTGCATGGCAGGTGAGATCTCAGCTCTCCAACCAGAGATCGAAACCATGCTCTCTGGAGTGGAAGCACAGTCTTAACTCCTGGACCACCAGGGAAGTCCTCCAAAAAATCAAAGAATTTAATATACTTTGCAGATTTTTGGTAGTTATAAGGCTCAATTAAAATACCTACACATGAAATATTTCTAATCCATAAAGATCAGAAGCTGTAAAGTTTTATCATTAAAAAAAGTTTACCCCCTTATACTTAAATTTACACATTTGGAAGAGGGTACACTTTGCCACTGGGCTAAGGAAGCCCCCAAACGTCCATTTTTTAAGTCAAGAGGATCCCTGTGATTTCCTTGCAGAAAGAATGTAAACTTTTCCTTTTAAATAAGACAGTCTATCCTTCAATAAGAAATATGCAAAGATGACATCATCCTTAAAAATATGAGAGGGGAAAAGGAAGCCTGAATTCTAACTCAACATTTTAAAGCAAATAAATGAATAAAGTATGTAAAAATTAAGATCATGCAGTATAACCACCACCTGTCAAACAAAATGAAAATGAAAAATAAAATGGCTCAGGACAAAAGAAGTATATGCCATGAAAGTAAATGCTATGAAACATTTATATAAAGCACAATCCAAAAGAAACTATTGAAATAAACACTGTATGTATAGAGTAAAGTAGACCTGGCAATCGAAGGAGAAAAGTCGTCATACTCATAAGAAGGAGAGAGGTCAGGGCGGCTGCCGCTGCCCTGTGAGAAGGGAATGTCTGACGGACTAATTCCAAACTCCTTTACTCTGCAGCACCAAAACAGCAACAGATTAAAAGAAAATGCTCTTGTAAAGACAGGAATGCACATTTCAAGTTTTCATTTATTACAAATTTGCTAGAAAAGGATCTTAAAAATAATTAACGTTAACAGGTTTTTGAACCCCTCTGTTCTGTTGAGTCCCTACTCCATAATTCTTCCTTTTCCTATGATCTTTTATAGAAGTGTAACTAGACCATCAACTAAATTTGAAATGCCCTGTATTAAGCTACATGACCACTCGTGTCTAGTTTTCTTCTGTAGTCAATACCATGAGTATTTTATTAGCATTAATGAATCCTCAACAGTCTTGCAGTCTTTTCAAACAGGACGGAAGAGAATTAAAGTCCTAATGGCATACAATCTTAATGAATTAACTTCTTTCCTATGCACCTAGAATGTATCTGTTATGAAGCAACTTTGGAACAAACTGAAAAAACCGTCACTCAAATAATTTTCTGTGTTTGGTGATTCAGATGATGAATCATGGCAAAGAAAATCCTTTAGCAATGGAATTTTAATTGTTTTTGAGAATGTCTCTAACAGGTGTATTAACCAAAGTTTTCTGAACCAACTTTTTTGAATTCCTATATCCTCTATGGGCCAATCTCACTTCATAATCATAGGCAATATTTATTAATTACTTTCTATCAGCAGATAGCATGATTAGTATTTCTTAGACATTATTTAACCATTACAACAAAGTTGTGATATAGCCACCATTTTACTGATAAGAAATTGGTTCAGAGCAATAAAGTACCTTACCCAGATTCATTCAGTGAGAATGTAGCATAACTGAGGTTCAAACCTGGCTGAGTACAAACTTTATGTTTGAACATTTCAATATATACCAACATATTCTCTGTTTTTCCTCATTACTTCTCAAGTTTAACTAAATGAAATTACTGTTTATACACATCAAAAATAGTCACATAGATAAAACTAGTAATGTCTTATACTTAGAATCTTTGACCTTTGGGTAATGCCTGCTCTCAAAGGTTCAATATCATGCATTTGCCCTTTTTCCTTTATAGTTACTTTGGAAAGCTTATTTACATACATGCTGACAAACCCAAATTTCTAATACTGACTTAATCACTTTTTTACTCCCAACCCCATTACTTATCTTATTCTTTCAGAATATCTTCATTTAGGTACCCTTTTAGCCCCTAACCACACATTTTCCCTCTATTCAAAGCTTTCTTGCCCAACCTGAACTATACTATATGCAGGAATTATACTTCTCAAATGAGCTATCAAAGGAGATTGAAAATCTTTATTCCTAAAGATATGGAAATAAAAGACAGAGTTGTTTGGCCCAGATGGTTAGTAATGTTGCAAATGAATCACATTACATGATAATAAATTAAAATATTTTACTTGGGTCTAAATGAACTAGAGGAATGACCAAATACAGAAGTCTGAAGATATGAGGGTTTTAATTCTACAACAGGACTATAACATTAAGCTGTTCCTCATCTCTCCCATGAACAATTCTGAAATAAGAAACATTTTAAATTAGTGATAAAAACCCTACAATACCAAAAATGTTCACTACAAAGAATTATTAAAGGTTCACAGCTAGGATTTTATAATTCAAAGTTTAAAAGGGATTAAGTTTAAAAATAAAATTCTATTATATTTTTAAAGAAATTATTTTTCATCTTTTGGCAAAAGGTAAGTTTATACTTTCCAACAGTTTCTACTGATGATTTTTTAAAATCTCTTGAAGTGAAAGCAAAATACAAAAGAACAAAGGATGTTCTCATTTATGTGAAGTTCAAATACAGCTACCTATATTGTTCAAAGACACATTCATAGGTAGTAAAACTATTTTTAAAAAGGGAGAAAGAAAGAAAACTGAGCAATTTATCCTAAAATCAGGATAATGGATTGAGATTAATGGATTTAAGCATGTTATTCAGGATTTGTGATCAGAAAGGGACACATGGGGAATTTTCTGGGGGGACTGAATATGTTCTATTTCCTGGTCTAATCACCAGAATTTACACTTTTTAAGTATTCATTACATTACATTATGTAATGTATGAAGTATTCGTTTATTACATTATGTTTGGGTACTTTCCTATATGCATATATATGTAACGTCTTAATGAAAGATTAAAAAAAAAACCTCAGTAGTGACTAAAACAAAAAAATACTACAAATACTTATGTTTAGCAAAATCAAAAGACTCACCATACTAGAAATGTAATACAAAGAGGCATTTTATCTTTAGGTTAAAATCACAAATGCAGTATGTGATAACAGAAATTTAAAACTATATAAATAGTCATTTAAAAAAAGAGCAATGGGAACAAACTGCTTTAATGGTGTGTAACGCTTTCTGTCCTCTCATTTGTAATAATCCATTTGTCTATGAAAGTTTGTAACAGTATTTTCATAAATAATAAAATGTAACCCATATAGATGGGAGAAGGAAATGGCAACCCACTCCAGTGTTCTTGCCTGGAGAATCCCAGGGACGGGGAAGCCTGGTGAAGCCCCATCTATGGGGTCACACAGAGTCGGACATGACTGAAGCGACTTAGCAGCAGCAGCAACCCATATAGAACACCACAAAGAACGGTGCCATCACTACTAAATCCCTAGATTCCCCATGTATAACATTTAACATTATCAGAAATAGTTTTTTAGCATATAGCAAAATAACTTAAGAAATACAAACTGGTGCCTGATACTTTTGAGTTGTAACATAATGAGAACTAATACTACGAAATATAACTTGGTTAAATGGAAAAATGTATCATGTTCTTGAGTAAGACCAATTCTACTAAAAATATAACTGTCTTCTCAAGTTACTCAACACATTTCTAATTATTTTTATTTTTAGGATGTGATAAAATGATTTTAAATATCATTTCAACAAATATGCAAACAATTTTTTGAAAATGGAAATAATAATGTAATAAGATATACCCTGTAAGATATTAAATCAAATAATATACTGTTCTATTCCTTTCAAATTTCAAAATAACCATATCTCATACCTATTTGCATATCTTAATGTATTGAGGGTATTTTCACAGGATGCCATTCCTGGAGATATTGTAGCAATCTATGGGGGAAAAGTGCAAAGGTAAAGAAAGTGTTATAGATGACAGTAATATTGACACATGGCTCCTTAAAGGTCTAATCTTAATATGGTCATCCAAAGAAAAGAAACTCCAAGATAATTCAGTATCTCACACCCATAATCATACAGTAACTATAAACTCCAGTAAAATATAAACAGCTCTAATAGCACCACAAAATGATCAAACATCAGGCAGAAAATGGAGGTCAACACCTCAAAGAAGGGAGTAACACTGAGTGACTGATTGCCCCTCTTTTCGATAATTTTTTTTTTTGCTTAAGGGCAAACTGTGCTGCTGTCACATAGGACAACTGAAACTTCAATAAAAACCTGGAGTGTCACTAGTTAAGGACAGTTTGGACGTGTGCACCATAGCAGCTGGGAAGTGAAGTTTGTCCCAGAAGAGAAGTAACCAGAGAGGGAGAAACTCTGTGTGTGTGTGTGTGTGTGTGTGTATTCATATATATATATATACACATGAGTGAAGTCTGTCCCAGTAACCACAAGGGGAGAAACTCATATGTGTGTGTGTGTATTCATATATACACACACACATGAGTACTATACCCAAATATACACATTACCCGAATCTCTGCGAGGGAGAAACTCGTGTGTGTGTGTGTGTATTCATTATATATATACACACATGAGTACTCTACCCAAATACACACACTACCTGAATCTCTGCCTGACCCCCAAACTGGAGTACACAGGCTGACTATAAGAAACATTGCTAAGTCTAAAAGAGCTAAACAGAGATTTCAAGGTCAGTTGCTGCCCACAGCAGGGGAGACAAGAGTTTGGAGTTCAGCTAAGTTAACTTTCTGCTAAAATAACAATAACAACAAACCAATAATCTTCAGAAGAACATAACAGAATCCAGAGTGTCTATACGATATTCATTCATAATGAAAATTATATAATCCAAAATTCTAGACATATGAAGAAAGACAGAAGTGTGACTAATATGTAAGAAAAACAGAAAGCAATGGAAACCAATCACAAGAGGACTCAGATGTTGTAATTAGTAGAATGCATGAAGGTACTGTAACAGCAATAAAATCCTATCAGACTGGCAGGGACCACATTTTTAAGTTTTACTGTATCACAGTAGAAGACTTTAAATGCCACTAATGTATTTCATAAATTTCCCATAGATGTTATATAATTATTCATTTATGATTAAGACAAAATAAACATAAACTTACCATGCAGGTACGAGAGTTTTCACCTATGAATGAATCTCTTAACACCTGAGTGAGTTTACTTGCTCGGAAAGGAGTATGAGGTTTATTTCTACCTAAGGCTCTGATGCACTCCTGAAAATTAAGAAAGCAAATTTCACAGATTATGCTTCTTATAAAGATTAACCTTATCAAATGTATTTAAAAGATCTCTTACAATAACCCTAACATTTAAGATCTGATCAGCTCTGAAAATTCTATCAAGAGGTCTACAGCATAGTAAAAATGTTCTCATAAATTGTTATTCAAGAAAATGAAATTTGGGAAATAAAAATACCAGAAACAAACCCCCAAAAACAATCTAACCAAAAGACTACTTTGTTAATTCCAAGAGATTCTGCCGGAGACTATGACTGGTGTTTAGGAGTGATAGGCAGTAGGATAACTGTTGTTCAGTTGCTAAGTCATGTCTGACTTGTTGTGATCCCATGGGCTACAGCACACCAGAATTCCCTATCCTTCACTATCTCCCAGAGGTTGCTCAGCTTCATGTACACTGAGTCGCTGATGCTATCCAACCATCTCATCCTCTGCCACCCTATTCTCCTTTTGCCTTCAATCTTTCCCAGCATCAGTCTTTTCCAATGAATCAGCTCTTTGCATCAGGTAGCCAAAGTATTGGAGCTTCAGCTTCAGGATCAGTCCTTCCAATGAATATTCGGGGTTGATTTCCTTTAGTATTGACTGGTCTGATCTCCTTGCTGTCCACAGGATTCTAAAGAGTCTTCTCTAGCACCACAGTTCAAAAGCATCAATTCTTCAGTGCTCAGCCTTCTATATGGTTCAACTCTCACACCCATACATGACTACTGGTTTGACTATAGTCAAACCATAGCTTTGACTTTACGGACCTTTGTCAGCGAAATGATGTCTCTGCTTTTTAATATGCTATCTAGATTTGTCATAGCTTTGTTAAACTTTTTCCATAAAAGAAAAAACAGAATGCTTTCTTTTCTCTGTAAGCCAAGGGGGATATATAACATTGGCCTAACTTTCTGAAAGCCATTCCACATTTTTCAGAGAAACTTTCTTAGCTCAGTTTTATGGTTCCTTGCTCTCCTTCATGAAAAAAGACCGATTAATGATTAAGGCTCCCTGGAATCTCCCTAAATAGCCTGTCAACTATTTGGAAGTGGCCTGCCAACTAACAGATCTTTTAACTACCCTAAAAAGAATAAATAATATGTATGAAGAAAATTTCTGGGAACAATAAAAATCTATAACTGCAAACTTTAATAAACAACTAAATTTTGATAATCTCTCTTACTTATTAGAAAAAACAAACACTATCATTTTGTAACTGAGTAAACAAAGTTAAAGTCCAAAGTAAGAGACTTGTCACAATTAAAAGGACTTTATTTACCTTGAGTGCTAAAAGGCTTTTATTAATTTCAGCACCTTCAAGCCTAGTTTGCCTGTCTGCACTGGAAGTATCAGCTCCTCTTTCATTTCCAGCCAAATCGATGAGAGAAAATTTGCCATGTAGTTTTCCTTTCCTTCTAAGGATAATCTGAAACACTGCATGGCTCCGAGATGAATGTGCATTTGCAGATGTTTGACCGGATGTTCTACAATGTAATTAAGAACATTTTGATATGTAAAAGTTCCATTTGTGCAAGCCACAATATTTTCATTAAAAATAGAAACAAAAAACTATCCCGTTTTTATTAAATACAAAAGAGCTATTGTGAATTAACACAAACATAATGAGATTAATGCAATTTAACCTGGCACACTTCAAAAAGTCTTGATGAACAATGATTTTTACTTTCAAGATATACTGAATAACAATCTTGCTTTGCTCTCAAGTTATAATCAAAGTATCTAAAATTGATCATCAGATTGTTTCTCTTTATTAAAATGAGTTACCTGCAACTGTTGCCTATGTCAATGAGTTTTAGTACATCTTCAACGCATTTGACCTCCCGTTCCTGTAATCCCACCACTTGAACCTGCTGTTTTCCATCTTCAAGCACTCTTAATTTTGTTTTTCTATTTAGCAAGTCAAACACCTAAAAAAAAAAAAAAAAAAAAAAGCATTTGAAAATAAGAACAGTTCTATAAAAATGAGTCATTCAGATTCTAAAAAATTATTTCAGAGAATCCTAATAATTGTTATAGAATAATAATGATTGATATTGAAGTTAAAGAATTTCAAAGGGAATTTTTAAAAAATCTCATACACAAAACTTTAAAGTAATATTCTAAATACATATAGCAATTATGTGGTGGCACCAACTGTCCAACAATGTGAATGTACTCAATTCCGGTGAACTTCTACACTAAAAAAGTTAAAATGGTAAATTTTATGTTATGTATTTTTAAACCACAATTTAAAAAGCTTACAAAAATTAGTTTAAATTTCAACTTACCTTACCACTATAAATTTCAAAAAAGGTTGCATACACTTGAAGTTCCAACTTCTTATAGTTTGGCTTCTTTAGCATTAAAAATACATCCCGAGCTGCCAATAATTTCATATGGAGAAAATTTGTTAAGATGCAAAAAAATTGTTTTTAAAAAGAAATTAAAATTTTCTATTTTCAGAGGAATCAGTTTTGCTTACCTAGAATGATAGTATCAATAATAAAAATGAAGACTAAAGTGGATACTAACTTTACCAAAAATAGCCACAGTTTGTCCACACTGTCAGTTTAGAAGTCACTCTCCTTCATATTCAAGAAAAGAATGCTACTACTTATCTTTATAAACAGCATAAAATTATAGGTGGTCATAATAAGGGTACTTTCATAAATATAACAAATGGGAACTTTTCACAAAGCAGCTATTCAACAATACTAAGCTCCAACAATGTGTCAGATTACAACACACACACAATCAAGATTTCTGACCCCAAAGCAAAGCTCTTTCCAAAGCAGTCCGATAACCTAAAACTGACAAAATACGTAGTAAGTGCAGCATTAATTACCCTTAAAATTCTGGACAGTACTTCCAAATCGTTTTCCAAACCACCTGAATAATATTCAAGAAGAATGTTATAAATGATACCCAAAAAGGAGTTACCTGCTAATGCATAAATTCCTTTAGAACAATCTTGGTTCTTTCCTGAAAAGTCACCTCCCATTGTCTATGTTAAAAAGAAAAAAGAATTTAGGTCTTACAATTAAGGTATAAGAAAAATAAACCAGCTTCCTATCAGGATGTAACTAACGAATTACTTACATGAGTCTTTCCACTTCCAGTCTGCCCATAAGCAAAGCATGTAGCCATTCCCCTCTCAAATATAGTTTCCACTAGTGGTCTAGCTGTAAACCTTAAAAATAAAATGCACCAGTCAGAATGTACAGTTAATATTTTAATTAAGTAAGTAATAAAACTAGTATCTAGTGTTATTAACAAACAAATCTTACACCAAAATTTTTAACAAACCAGTAGGTTCAACTCTAAGACCACAACTGAACTCACTGATTTAAAATTTTAAATGTCCATGTCCTAGAATTGCTTAAAGCTCTTTAATGCATATCTTCAAGCAATAATTCCATAATAAAAATGGCCACAATAATTAATAACTGCCAGGGGAAAAAAGATAGTAGCTGAGCTAAAGACATATATATTAATAGAAGACAATAGGAAAGTTTTAAAAAATAACAACAAAATATGGTAATATTAGCCAGACAAGTGGAACATACATGAAAACCAAAAACAAAAAACCCCAACCCAAACTCAAAAATGTATCAAAGGTTTCAAAAGAAACAGAATCAAGACTGGTAATCTCAAAAAAGAAAAGCTAGAGGGAGAACAAAGTACAAAAACATTATCTTAACAAGTATAAAAGTGGTAAAAATTTTCCTGAATGTGAATAAGCAAATATGAAAGATGCTTGTAAGACAATGAATTCTGAACTGATAGTCTTGATTCAGGAAAAGGATGCCCAAATATTATAAATAAGTAAATATAAATGATCTTTATATAAGACAATGAATTCTAATTGACAGTCTTGATTCAGGAAAAGGGTGCCCAGTATTATGTATTGGTATAATCACTGCTGGAGTTAAGATTAAAAAGGTAAGGAGGGACAAAAAAATATTTCATTGAGCAGTGCTCTAAAATGCATGATACAAAAAAATGGGTTTTTTACACAGGCTTCAAAAGAACATGTGAACACTTTATATAGCCCTATTGATTTTTTCAAAGGCACAACTGGAGAAAGTATAGAACAATAGAAGGAGAAAAAAGTTCTAATCAAACAGAATTAGAAATGAGTCTGAAGAGTGATAGGACAAAAAAAAAAAGCCTAATTCCTCAATCCACAGAAGTTAAGGATAAGAGGGGACAGAATTAATATTGGTAAAATTAAGAAGCATAAACACAGGGTGAAACAAAAATGTTTACTAAATCTAGCACATACACAGAAACACACCTTTATAATGATCTCTTGAAAATGATTATAAAAGTCAGACAGATATATTTATGAGACAGTAGTGGAAGGAGACAAGGGAGTGAGTGAATAGGAGAGGACTCAGCTCCCAGAAAGGTAAAAAACATACAATTTACAATTCCCTTTTAAAACAAATTCTTCACAATACCTCTATCTAGCATTCACGTATTCTTTAATTTTGTCCTCTTTCTTTAGAGCTGAACTCAAAGTTTACTGGCTTAAGACCAGAGGAGTTGATCTTAACAGGATCTCATTTATCATAACTTGTTAGCATCCTCACTAATTAATTTTGTTTTCCAGTCAAATTTATAAGATAAAAGGGCAATGAAGCATAGCATTCAAGTGACTGCTAAGACCATTTAATATAGACTGAAATAAGAATGCTGCTAAAATTGACCTGTTAAATAATGAGAAGTAAATGTTTATAAACTATGTATGAAAATCTAAATTTGGATAAAAATGTGGGACATCAATGCATAATACACAAGTTTGAATTATTTGTAGGTTAAATATGCGAACACATAAGAATTTCATGCTAAAACTATTTCAAAGCTTAAATATGATAAACTAGGCAAATGCACGTAGATTTCAGAACTTTTTTTCCTTAAGTGGTCAATAAAGATTTAGACAAATAAGTGTCTGATGTATAACAGTTATTTTAAATTTCTTTGAAATACTGCAGACATTAAAAAGGAAAAATAACCACATCCCATTTCTAGAGGTACAGAAAATGTTGTCTAGAAACTTCTTATCCATACACATGGTGTGTTACATAGTGTATAAGTTAACTGGTAATGAAAACTGATTTGGGGAGCATTAAAGAAAACAAGTATTACTATTTATTATTGTGTTTATTAAATATTCTTATTCGTTTAAACTAAGGCGGTCAAAAAAGAATACTGCACCTCTGGAGAGATATGCCAAGGTCAATATAAGTTTCAGGGTGATGGTGAACACCCTGAACATAGAACAAGAACAAATTATGATTTATAACAAATTTACCTACCTGTAAACCATTTCATTAGGAGCTGAGTCATCAAAGGCATAATCAAAACGAAATGTTTGGTTTTCTAGGTACCTTGTTAAATCTACTTTTTGTTTTGGTTCATGTACCATCACAACATCTTTACTAGGGATTGTGATTACATCAAGATCTTTCATTTGAGTTTCTAAAAGAATAAATAAAAAAGTCAATGGCCAGTAATTTTCACATCATTTGAGTTAATGAACAAAAATTATTTTAAGTAGTAAGAATTTAGATAAAAGTAGTAACCCTGTAAATATAAATATCCCATAAACATGCCATTCAAATAGAATATTTCAACAACAAAGTTAAAAAAAATCAAGATTTCCGTAAAGCCAGGAAAGGCAGTCTTACAGCAATAACACAACAGCCCTAACCACAGAAATCTAATGCTTATATATAAATGAAATGATTTACACTTAACTCTTCCAAATCAATTTGATTTCTGGTATTATCAAAATAAACTGCAAACAGGACAAAAATCGACCTTTGATTAGAGCTCAACAAACATACCTTTTTTATTGAGTGGTCGTTTTCTTACACAAACACATATCCTGTGTTCATCAATCTAGAAATAAAATAATGTTTCCAGTTATTATCAGTGAATTATAAAACAATGAAAAATTAATTATGTGATATTTCTAAGGTTTTAAAAATTTATGCACAGCAAAAATAGGATACATAATACACAAATTTTAAGAATCATCAGACACAATTATTTAAAAAATTCAAAGTATAATGGAAACTTGCTGAATTGTGTCATTTGGTAAACCTCTAGGAAATAACTTTGCAGATGACACTACTACTCTTGATAGCAACAGGTTCACATTAAGAAGCCACCTTATTCAAGTCAAGATGGGCTGTATACGACAAAAGTCAAATTTCCTAGCAGACTGAACTGGAGGGAAAGCTGTTGGCAAAGATAACTAGCTGTAGGCAAGAAACAGGATTATCAGGCAAAATAATTTGAACAATTTCATAATGTGCCAATTAATTAGACATATTTTTTCATAAAACTTATGTTCCCAATGTTTGTCTTATAATGATATTTAATATAAAGTAGAAATTTGCAAAGTATGGCCTAAAAACCCAACCCAAGTCACTACTGAAGTTTTTCTGAAACAGCCATACCCATTCACTTATGTATTGTCTCTGGCTGCTTTTCATACTACAAAGTCAGAATTGAGAAGTTGTAACACAGAAAATATGGTTCACAAAGACAAAAATATCAGGCATTTCTCAGAAAAAGTTCTGCAAACACTGCTGTAAAGTCTGAGCTCAGATGTAAGTGAAACAAATGGAGGGGCAACAAGAACTAAAATACATGAGATCAGATGTTATGAACTACTGTTAAATCATATATAATACATCTGCCTAAAATAAACATATTTTGTGTACCCAATACATTCCATGTATGCTAGGTCAGATGTATTATTTTTCACAAATACAAATGACAAAAGTATTCCCTGTCTAGTAAATTCTCATTCTTTTTTTTTTTTTGATTTGGACCACTTTTAAAGTCTTTATTGAATTTGTTACAATACTGTTTCCATTTCATGTTTTGGTTTTTGGTCATCAGGCATGTGGGTTCTTAGCTTCCCACCCAAGGATTGAACCTGCGCCCCCTGCACTGGGGAGCAAAGTCTTAACCACTGGACAGCCAGGGATGTCCCTAAATTCTCATTCTTTAATAGGAAAGGAATGCATAATAAGACATTTTTTAAGCACTAGAGTTTTGTTTTACAGCAGTCCTCAACAATCATTCCTGCTAAAAGCCAAAATAAACATTTATTTAAAAAAAATTAATTAGCAATAAGCTGGAATGATGGTGGGATCCACAGCCCAAGTCAAGAGGAAATAAACTTGGAATTGAGATGAAGGTATAAGTGATGGTTGCTTAGCCAAGTCCTTGGTAGGGCAGAGCAACAGTCAAGGATGATGTCAGAAGACCCAATCTGCCTTCTGACCATCATTTATGTCAATTCCAAGTTATTTCCTCTTGTCTTGGGCTGTTGATCCGACCATCATTCCCACTGACTACTACTTAACTTTTTATTTAAACGTGAGCAAACTTTGGGATATAGTGGAGGACAGGGATGCCAGGTGTGCTGCAGTCCACGGGGTCGCAAAGAGTCGGACACGACTGAGTGACTGAATGACCACCACCAAGGACTTGAAGGCTTTACTGTGAAACAGGTATCTCTGTGAGAAGCATGTCTCATACATCAATTATGGGAATTAAGAGTAAATGTGGGTAGTTTCTTTCTCTTTTTTTGGCTGCACTGAGTGGCTTGTGGGATCTTAGTTTCCTGATCAAAGACTGAACCTAGGCCCTCAGTTTGGAGTCCTAACCATTACGTCACCAGGGAATTCTCAATGGTTTGTTGATTTTCTTCTTAAAATATGGAGAAGGAACACCCATAAAGAGAAAAAAGTTACAGAGCCAAATACAATATTAATTTAGGGGGTATCAAACATATTTTTATTTACAGCATAAAAAGTTCCAGGGCAATCATTTACAAAGAATCTTACAGGATCTGCTGTTGTTAATGGTCTATAATCCAAACTTCCTCTAAAGTCTCTGATCATACACATAATTTCATAATTTGGGTTTGTAGCATCAACATCCTGTAAGAAGACAGAGAATTCATCATTTATTATAATTACAACAAAGTAGCATTTGTTGCATTTATACATGGTTTGAAAATTAAAGTAATAAATTATGTCACTAGTAATAGCCAAGCCCAAATTCAAAGCAGAGATGTGATATAGTTTCAGAGTTCAAGATCAGTAATTGCCCAGAAATCACTTTTATTTTAAAAACACAATTCTGTTAGTCTATGTGAAATCTGTTAACTCCAAGCCATATACTGCTTATTAAATCCACCCTTGTATTATTTCAAATGTTATACACATACCTTAATTGTCCTAGAAAATTGAGCAAGAGAAAGTACTCATCCTAAACATCAAAAATAGAACTCTAGACAAGCTGAAATTCTTAGAAAAATGCATTTAATCAGATTCTTATTTCCAATTCCTAATGCAATGTTTCAGGAAAATAGAACTATGGATTCACTTATGTTCATTTCCTATTTTTACTGAGTCTCTTAAAAAAAAAAAAATTAAGGCGTGGTATAAAACAGTTCCAACTCAACAGGATATAGGATTTAAAGGAACTGGAAGCCAAGACAGTTTTTAAAATCTTTAAAATTCAAATTATTGAATGCTAACAGCAATTTACTTTTTCGCTTCAAAATTGAGAAAATTCAGATTAAGATACAAATAGCAAGAGCTAACAGCCTCTCCTAGCCAGGCCATGAGTATAAATTATTAAATATTTCAAGTCAGTTTTTTTCCCCATGTATTTTATTGCAGATTTGCTTCGAGTACAACTCAATTTCAAAACTGTTAATGTCACTACTCTCAATTAACCTTCTTGGGAAATAATACTAACTATATCAATTGAGAAGTAGAATGTAAATAGTTCAGATAAAAATATAATGAAGTACCCACAGGAGACACCAGGTGGCATCTGTGCTAAGTATCAGTAGACAACAGCATCGTTTATTTCAAAACCCAACTAGTCATTCTCAGGTCACTTTCAGATATAAGCTGCTTTACTGAGGTTGAATATTATATTGATTCCACAACACAACACATTTATGATTAAGGGCATTTGAACATACTCCTAAATAAGGAAACAATCCTGGTATTTCATTACAGGAAACGAGTTCTGAGAATATAATAGTTACAATATAAGCACAATGGAGGAATTATTTGAACAGTAAAAAATGTGAAGACTTGTAGAGAGATAAAAGACCAGTCTTCTATGCAATTTTCCATTGCAGGTAAAATTTTGCTAACCATCTAAAGGAAATGTGAGAAGAGGGGCATGACAGAGCTACACTCTCAACATTAGCATAAATCAACACACAACAAATTTCCACTCTTTCATTATGATATGTTCAATTTATTAACCATGGAAAAACAACAGTAACACTTATAGTATAACCATACACTTTAACTGGTACTTTTAGAATGCATTTTTAGTCCTTTTTAAAAACCTAAAATCCTATTATTCTTGATGTTATAAATCTATTAGAATTCTGTAGCACAATGGCTTACTATTCAAAATGGAAAAAGCCTCAGGACTAAGTCATACCAACTAAAACTTGAGAAATTTATGTAGTAAAAAAAAATCTGTTAATAACTTATTTTCTCAAGAGTTTACATTATTCCTCAATGCCAATCTAAGGAACTATATTGAAATCTTTAAAGGAGTTATTTTTTCATAAGCCAATCCCATTCACTGACACAGTAAAATCTTTGGTTGGTGCATGAACAAAATATGTTTCTGTTACAAACCTGGGCTCTTTTTTCTCTAAGTTCTTGTTGTTGCAGTCTCCTTTTTTCTCGTTTTTCTTGCAATTTCTCTACTTCTTTCACACAATTAGATTTTCTACGTGCTAGAAGAAAAAGATGAGCTGTAGAAGTATAGTTTTCTTTTTAGAGTATTGTACTTATACACAAAATCTTATGTATCAATGTAATTTTACCACATACACTCAAAAAAAGGTACACAATGACAAAACATGCCCATGACAAATATGTGTACTTATGAGCTGCTTTAACAAAACTAGGAACAGGACAAAATACGAGTAAGAGTCATGAAAAGTGACTCTAACATACTGATACATGTCATCTCTTGGTTTAGAATCAAAGATCTTTGAACTGATGGGTAAAGGAGCATATTTCCTCTGTAACATCTGTCAAGATCATCTGGCCAGTATTTTAAATTTAAAGCAACTGAAACATTGTTATAGTTTTATATTATAAATTTTTTTCTTTCAAAATATACATTAAAAAACCCAATTAACAGACTAAACTAATAACAACAAAAATCTTCTACAATGGTAAAAACCTGTAATTAAGCTTGCAATTTGGGGACTTATAAAATTGACCAAGAGAAGTTACATGTATGACTAAAATGACTGAATCCTTGATACATGATTTACATACAAGGGGGTCCAAATTCCTTTTTTGCAGCTTGAACTGGAGATATATCTGAAACACTACCATTCTGTTGTGCAGAGGAAGACTGTTCGGGAAGCTGACTAGGCCGCGCACGTGCAGAACCAACCACTGAAAGGGAAACACAATTTTCAAATATATGTAATAATCAATTCTGGTCAATACACTGACAAGCTGAAAGGTTTTCAAAGTAACATGTACAGACTCAGGTTTTACCAATGGAACTGTAGCTACAAAACTCAATCTGAACAATTTATATAAAAACCGAAGCCAAGCTTGATTTTAAATAATCATTAAAAAAAAAAGTGGGCAAAATACAGATTTTATATGCACTCTCATTTTGAAAAACTCAAACAATTCAGACATATAGAAAGTAACAATGTAAAAGTATTTCAACCCTCTTTGTATTTTAAATCCCACTCTGCTCCTCAAATAGGCAAATCTTCAACAGAGAATTTCCTACTGTGGATGTTACAAAAGTGGAAAAAACAATATTGAGTTAAATATAAACATCACATTTTACAAAGAAATATAAATTTTCAGAAGACTCAAAGATAGTGCTGAGAGTGCAGGCCTTTCCATCTACCTTGACTCTCTCCCGTAATACCTACGGCTGTCCTGCCTCATCATCTGTACATACAAGGAAACATCACTACTAGAAAGGACCATTCTGAACAGCAGAAAAGGATTAACTACGCTTTACATCACTCAGCTGAAAACATATGAGAGTCCTGAAATTAACTACAATTTATACCTATTCAACTTGTCTTCAGCTACCCATGATCCTTTTTAAAAGTCAGTTAGCCAAAAAATTATGTAAAAATGTCAATGATAAATTTACCCTTGTTAAATCATTTGACTACTTCCCCATTCCTTTCTTTCCCATAATACTCTCTTCAAATCTGAAAAATGATTGAGTAAATAAGATGAATCAAAACTGCACATAACATGGAATTTCACATTTATCATATACCTTTACAAATCATTTTTTAGATATCACTGACATTACTGTCTTGGGAAATCAAGAAGATACAATCTTAAAAATGAGCCATGTAAAGTTTAAATGAACAATAACACCAGGGGTAATGTTTACTTTTGATTTACCTTGGCAGGGCCATAGGCAAAATTAATACATAAAAATTTTACCTCTATTATCTCTTGGAGGAGGTTCATTCTTAATAGAAGCCACAGTCCGTCGATTCTATAATAAAGAAAACATTCATTTTACTTTCTCTCTTTATTCCTCATATATACATCTATCATAATCAGCTTCCTTTAATTAAACAAAAATAGATAAGACATACAAAAATACAAAACTAAACGGAAAAAAGGGAAAAAATAAATGGAGAAAAACTAAAATTATCTTATAATAAATTACCAGTAATGCCATCAATATTCAAGTTTATTTAAATATCCTGCCACTGTCCCAAAATAGGCAGGAATTAAAATGAGCCAGGTACTGTTCTAAGGGCTTCCTATGTATTAATTCATTTAATCTTCACAACAACCCTATGAGGTCATTATTATTGCTATTCTGGATTCACAGATGAGGAAACTGAAGCAAAAATAGATTAAATAATTTCATTAAAGTGGGTGTTTTTTAATCATCATGCTATCCTTACAAAATCATGTAATACATTTCATCTTTGGACGTCAGGAGTAAGTAACAAAACAATTTTTAGGCAATGTACAGATCATTGTTAAACTGAAACATCAAAATACTATGAAATACACTGTTGGTTTTTACTAAAAGGTTTCATTAGACTTTTAAAGACTTCAAACTGAGTACATAAGGGCAGCAAGTTTTTGGTCCTATTATTTATTTACCAAGACTTTATTTAATATTCACCTAAAAAAAAGATACCAAATAATGCTGTGAGTTTCAATGCTAACTGCACATCAAATCAGATTGCTACTATTAAAGAATATTGATGCTAGGGCCACTCTTTAGATAAAATAAAACTGAATCTCTAGAGTGGGGTTAGGAATCAAGTGTATTCTGAAGAATTTCCAGGTGATTCGAATACACAGCAAAGGTTGCTAAGGACATATCAATAAGGATAAACTATGAAGATCCTTCAAAGCTGTGAAGCCAAATATGAAAAACAGTCCATTTACAAGGGAGTAATTCTAAGGGGGATCACTAAGCAGAGATTCTTAATATATATGCTGAAATTATATGAGCTGAAAATGTCTTACATTCATACAAGCAGCATGTTTTGCTGATATTGTTGAATTTCTATCATATTATATGTGGATGCCTATGAATGCCTTCCATGCAAGACAGTGAGCTCCTAGAGGGCTAAAATCTTATTAATCTCTGTAGAATATAAAATCAACAATGTAGTAAAAATTTTTGAACACAAAGAATTGCAGATTTAACAACTGTCAGGGACTATCTGACAGTTCTCTGATTTTTAAAAAGTTGTATTTTGATACAAAGTTTTAACATTGAGACATTTCAATAGAGAAGAGGAATTACTTAAAATAATGTAAAAATCACATACATTAACTGTTAGGAGGGACATAGCATGGCTTGAAAATTTATCTTCACAGATAATACAGAAATAGTTAAACTAAAATGTCATCTCATTTTTAAAAATAAATCTAAACAGCAGAATTACTATTTGAAAAGACTACTAAAATGGGAATTTATTATGAAAAAGAAACTAATTTTTCCTTTATCAAAGTCATATGTATTCACTCAACAAATACTAACAAGCAAACGATTTTGATCAATGTCTTCTAATAAACTACTAGTCTTAGGAAAAATCGTAACCAGTCATGAAATTTCTAGGATATAGAATTGTGATTTTAAAGGATTTTCAATCCTTTAAATGGCAGAAAGAATTAAGGTTTTTCTAAAAGCAAACAAATACATACTCTTCACAGTCCCATTTCAAACAAGAATACACACACACACCCTGCTCTGAATTTGTATCACTAACCTTTACAATTTTGTTTACTTTGGCTGAGGATGTTGGAGGTGGGGGTGTCTCTGGACTGGGCTCAATTTCTTCATCTGGTACAAGGTCAGGGTTAAGCGAAAAGATGCTCTCCAGGTCAATCTGTTTTTCAAAATGCATATATTTTCAGAGTGAATTTAGACAATATTTCATTTTCAAATAAATTTATACATAAAGGATAAATGTTAAACAATTTTAGCCTAATGAGTAGTATTACCTTAAAAATTAGATTACCTCGAATTACAACCAACATCTATTTATTTAAAAGAATCTCTCTTAAGGTAGTATGTTGTGGTCTGATTATATGTCTAATTACATGAGATATGCAGGAGATATCTAACTTTCTTTGAGTGAAATTTTTTAATCACTTTGAAGGTTTTTCAAGGAATGACAGCAGATACATACACTATATTAAACTATACAGTTTTCTGTTTTGTTTCATATTCGGAACCTTGATTTTAAGACCAGAAATAAAATTTAACCTAGTGATCATACCTCTTTGCCTTTTGTATCTCCATTTTCTATCCATTCAACAGTTACACTTTCGTTATCTTCATTTAAAGATGTTACCATTGCTTGATGTATTCGGCCTGATTGGGAATAAAATATACACTTTTAAAATGTTACAAATTATGGTATCCCTAAACACTGTCAAAAATAATTTTATAATTTACAAGTTTAAAGACTATGATACGAGGGATTTGCACAGATTCTTGGGATTAGGGAATGAACTTTGTCTATAGAACCATAAATGAATTTGCCACTACTTGTCAAGACCAAGAACTCAAGAAACTGGATTAAACTGAAAGTTTTATTTTCAGCATAGGTGATAAATGGTTACACAGTGGCATGGAATGCCTCAAATTTTATACTGTTACAACAGCTTGAATGATAAAGTTCCGTACTATGAGCCAACAATGATCCTGAAGAACACATAACAAAAATTCATGAAGCAATTTTTAATACTATATAGATATAAAATACTTTTAACTTAAATTTCACTATCATTACCTGTACAATTGATCAAATTGTTAAAATCTCATGGACAGAGGAGCCTGGTGGGCTGCAGTCCATGGGGTCGCAAAGAGTCCGGCATGACTGAGCAACTAACACTTAATGCATATCTATTAGAAAAGAGCTCCAGAGCTTTACAAAAAAAAAAAAGTTTATTTGAAGATTTAAGTATATACTGTCAGCAATATATTAGTGCTTTTCTTTTTTTATTAGTGCCTTTTTAAAAACTAAAATATATTACTGGAATCTTTCCACGACAGCATTATGGATCAACATTAATTTTAACAACTTCATAGGCATTCTATACAAGGAATACATCATAAGTTATTCTTTTAATAAGAAGAATTTAAACTGTTTCCAATTGTTTGCCATTAAAATTAATGTTGCACTGAGTGTAAGTACACAGTATGAATGTTTTCATTAATAAAATTTCTAGAAGCAGACTGGGTTAAGGAAACTGAAATTTTGACAGTTACTTGAAAACTGGTCTCTATATTCCCACCAACGATGGGGCCTATTCTTCTATATCCTCATCAACACTGAGCATTATCAATTTAAAATATTTTTAGCAATATGATAGGTTAGACCTTTAAGCTACTACTTTGTGAGCACATATACATCAAAGACTGGCTCATTTAAAATCTACACTGGTTCATTTAACATTACAAACATACCTACGAAGTAGGGATTTCTTTCTTTAAAATGAAGATACTGAGGCTCACAGTCACACAGCTATTAGTTGGCACATATCTGAACCTCAGTCACATGCAAAAGCACTTGCTATTATCACTATGTTTCTCTACTCTCCTAAAATTAAGCTGACGAGGAAGATGCCTGTGTGGTTTAAATTCCAAATACCCCTAGAAACATTTATAAGCTGGAGCACAGATCCTCAACGCTCACTGTGTACCCAGAAACTCCTAGAGAGGTTTCTTTTTTTTTTAAATAAAATGATGTTGGCCTGAGTTTTACCCCAAATAGTATCATTTGTTACCAATTCCATGGCAATCACCTTGGTGTAAGTCACCAAGGCCTTAATCTTGGATTATGGCAATTCTCTCCCAACTACTCTCTCTTCTACTGCCTATTCTTTATAGAACAGTCTAAACATTCCTGGTGAAAACCAAGTCAGATTATTCCTTTGCTCAAAACCTTCCAGTGGCTCCCATCCCACACAGAGTAAAAGCCAAAGCGCTTCCAGTGGCCACTAATGTCCTGAAACAAAGCCCGCCACGATCGGACCCCTCCCTACCTCTGCGACCTCCTTCACCCCTGACTACCGTATTTCTCCAGTTTTACTGGCTGATCTCTGTCTCACACAGTATTTTCGCTCCCCTCAAAAAGTTCTAAATGGGTCAAGGACTAAAATGTGAAGACAAATATAAAAGCAACTGAGTAAATAGTGGGGTCATTTATTCAGATTAAGTGGACATTAGGGAAGCAAGTGTTGGTAGTGGAGGGAAATGATGAACTGGAAAATACTGAGAGGATTCAAGGGAGAGGCTTTTTAGGGAAATTAGATAACGTTCACTGAAATTTGATTTGGACAGAAATTAGGTAAATAACCAGTACAAATAGGACGCGTCAGTTGGGTCCTTTGGGAAGCAGATGTTGAGATAGTTATGAGAACAAAAGGTTTACAGTAAAAGATAAAAGGAGAAGGAAACAGGACTGGTCATGGAAAACTTTCAGACTGTGATGCATTAGCTGAAACCTGTAAAAGAAAGGAGACACAAAGCAGGATTAAGCAAGGAAGCCTTAGATCGTGAGGCAGATCTGACAGTCTTGGCCAACCCTTCACGGAGCTCCGGAGCAAAGACTGACCACTAAAGGAGCCCCACAGAGGGCCAAAATGGAAATGCTCTAGTACTCATGCCCACTCACTAGCTGAAGGCTTCCCAGGAAACATCAAGGCCTCAGCTCAAGAGCTAAGGAGCCTTAAAGATATTAACAGCTGAGGCTATCAGCTAAATGTACTCCCTGAAGCAGGAGAAGTTCCCCTAAGAGAAGCTACCACGGCTTGCATCAAGCCCCAAATTTATCACCATCTCTATAGCATGAGTAGTGAGGCTGAGACCCAGCAGCCACTCGTCCCCCACCCCAACACCTTTAGCAGCCTCCAACCATAATATCCACTAGTAGGGCCAAGAAGATTATTGCAAAAAGGTTAACATAACATATTGATAACAATTTCTTCAATAGGAAATGACCCCAAAGAAGATGTATCTGAGCACTGAACTACCATAAATAACTTCCAGCATGAAATGGAGAGGCTGTGCTTGAAGTTGTTGAAGAGCAGTACAGATAGGGATCTCCATGCAATTCCCAACAGAATTATCACATTAATGAGACTAGGGAAAAGCATGTGAATGCTTCAAAAGGCAAGTCCAACACCACCATTCTTTTTTTGGGGGGTGTGGCACGGGATCTTGGCTGCTACATGGGCTTTTCTCTAGCTGTGGTAAGAGGAAGCTACTCACTAGTTGTGGTGGCTTCTTCTTGGGGCGGTTTCTCTTGTTGAAGAGCCTAGGCTTTAGGCACGCAAGCTCAACAGTTGCAGCTCCTGGGCTTAGTAGCCCCTTAGCATGTGGAATCTTCCTGTTCAGTTCAGTTCAGCTCAGTCGTGTCCAACTCTTTGCGACCCAGTGGACTGCAGCATGCCAGGCTTCTCTGTCCATCACAAACTCATTCATGTCCATTGAGTCAGTGACGCCATCCAACCATCTCATCCTCTGTCATCCCCTTCTCCCGCCTTCAATCTTTCCCAGCACCAGGGTCTTTTCAAATCAGTCAGTTCTTCACATCAGGTGGCCAAAGTATTGGAGTTTCAGCTTCAGCATCAGTCCTTCCAATGAATATTCAGGACTGATCTCCTTTAGGATGAACTGGTTGGATCTCCTTGCTGTCCAAGGGACTCTCAAGTCTTCTCCAACACCACAGTTCAAAAGCATCAATTCTTCAGCGCTCAGCTTACTTCATAGTCCAACTCTCACATCCATACATGACTACTGGAAAAAACCATAGCTCTGACTAAACAGACATTTGTTAGCAGAGTAACGTCTCTGCTTTTTAATAACTTTTCTTCCAAGTAGCAAGTGTCTTTTAATTGCATGGCTGGAGTCACCATCTGCAGTGATTTTGGAGCCCAAGAAAATAAAGTCTCCCACTGTTCCCACTATTTTCCCATCTATTTGCCATGAAGTGATGGGACCAGATGCCATGATCTTAGTTTTCTGAATGTTGAGCTTTAAACCAACTTTTTCACTCCCCTTTTCACTTTGTTCAACAGGCTCTTTACTTCTTCTTCGCTTTCTGCCATAAGGGTGGTGTCATCTGCATATCTGAGGTTACTGCTATTTTCCCTGGCAATCTTGATTATAGCTTGTGCTTCATCCAGTCCAGCATTTCTCATGATGTACTCTGCATATAAGTTAAATAAGCAGGGTGACAATTTACAGCCTTGACGTACTCCTTTTCCTATTTGGAACCAGTCTGTTGTTCCATGTCTACTTCTAACTGTTGCTTCTTGACCTGCATACAGATTTCTCAGGAGGCTGGTGAGGTGGTCTGATATCCCCATCTCTTGAAGAATTTTCCAGTTTGTTGTGATCCACACAGTCAAAGGCTTTGACACAGTCAATAAAGCAGATGTTTTTCTGGAACTCTCTTGCTTTTTCGATGATCCAACGGATATTGGCAATTTGATCTCTGGTTCCTCTGCCTTTTCTAAATCCAGCTTGAAAATCTGGAAGTTCTCAGTTCATGTAGTGTTGAAGCCTAGCTTGGAGAATTTTGAGCCTTACTTTGCCAGCGTGTGAGGTGAGTGCAATTGTGTGGTAGTTTGAGCATTCTTTGGCATCTCCTTTCTTTGGGATTGGAATGAAAACTGACCTTTTCCAGTCCTGTGGCCAACTGCTGAGTTTTCCAGATTTGCTGGCATATTGAGTGTAGCACTTTCACAACATCATCTTTTAGTGAAATAGCTCAGCTGGAATTCCATCACCTCCACTAGCTTTGCTTGTAGTGATACTTCCTAAGGCCCACTTGACTTCACATTCCAGGATGTCTGGCTCTCGGTGAGTGATCACACCACTGTGGTTATCTGGGTCATGGAAGATTTTTTTGTATAGTTATTCTGTATATTCTTGCCACCTCTTCTTAGTATCTTCTTTTTCTGTTAGGTCCATACCGTTTCTGTCCTTTATTGTGCCCATCTGTGTGAAATGTTCTTGGTATCCAATTTTCTTGAAGAGATCTCTAGTGTCTCCCTTTCTGTTGTTTTCCTCTATTCCTTTGCATTGATCACTTAGGAAGGCTTTCTTATGTCTCCTTGCTATTCTTTGGAACTCTGCATTCAGATGGGTATATCTTTCCTTTTCCCTTTGCCTTTAGCCTCTGTTCTTTCCTCAGCTATTTGTAAGGCCTCCTCAGATAACCATTTTGCCTTTTTGCATTTCTTTTTTGGGAGGATGATTTTGATCACGGCCTCCTATACAATGTTACAAACCTCCATCCATAGTTCTTCAGGCACTCTATCTATCTATCAGATCTAATCCCTGAATCTATTTGTTACTTC